TATAAGCAGGTCTTAAAGCTGAAATGTCTTGCAGTATATCCAGTGAGTATTCAATTCATTTACAGTAAGTCAAACTGGAAGATGTAAAGAGAGATGCCTGACACTTTAATGCTTCCTTCTTGAAACATACAGCAGTACGCAATCACCCATTTCATAAACAACATCTGGTGCAGCAACTTGGGATATCACAGTTGCTGTTGTTAAAAGGCACAGGTGGTGGTGGGGGAACCACTTCATCACAAATCTACAGACAATACTGTTCTGGTATGGATATTCCCACTTCTGACTCAAAGATATATCAGCAGTTTATTTAGTTCTAAATCCTTCTCTTAGATGAGGGCACATATGGCTTCCACTGGTTTCCATGGAAACAGGCTATGAGCATCACTTGACTTCCAAACATGACTTGGTTCTGATGCCTACATGCATAGTTAATTGTGATGCATTGTGGGATATTCTACTGGCAATAATGTAAAAGGTGAACAATTTTTTTTGTCATAGGTGGTATAGCCCCACCTATTACTTGGCTCTCTTATTTCCTCTTGTAAAACATCTGCAGTATCAATCCATTTGGATTCTAGGACTGGGAACCAGAAGCCTTACTTGCAGCTGGTCAGCCATCTGCGAGGGATGGTTTACCCTGGTGCCCTGCAGTAGCAGGGGGTTGGATCCTGATGGCCCTCTGGCCCCTTCCAGCTCTACTATTCTATGATTCTATGCCACTATCCAATGTTTCAAAAGAAGCTGTTGGCCTGCTTCTTGCTATTCTTCAGCAGCAGCACTCTGGATGGAACTGCAGCTAAGACATCAGAAGAGGTCTGTGGAAACAAAGCACCCAGAGTATCCAAGGATAAGCCTACCAATTTACTGACAGTGACTTGGCTACTCAGTGAGAGCAACTTGTCCCTCCGGCATTGACTGAGCTGCCCTCAAACAGCCTCTCCCTGCTTTTTGCCTCAATTACCAGCTTGACTTCAGACCTTCAAACCTTGAGACTTCATTTTATACGCCAAGTGATTTGCTGGACGGCTACAATGCCGTCAGCCCTGCCTGCATAAGGGCAGCTCTGTCAATGCTGCCTTTGAAAGGGAACAGACAGTCTTGTCGTCCAAGAGTTCCATCATCCATAACTGACATCAAATTAGCCATGGTGATAAAAATCCATGCAGACTGTGAGGAGTTCTGAAAGGGCATATCTGGATTGTGTAAATAGGCAACAAAGCAGGAAAAAAGAGGATCAGTTTAAGTAAGTTAAGTGACCTAATCTGGGACAAATGTCCTAATTGAACTGGCCATGACTAGCCAGCAAAATGCTCCTGGAGTAGTCAGTAAAAAGTTACTTAGTGTGCAGCAGCAGCTGTGAAAAGGCCAATTCCATGCTAAGAAACATTAAGAAAGGGAATGGAAAGATAACTCTCAGTGTAGAGGAAATGGGTATTTCAAAGGTTAGCAGTTGTAATGACTATTAGAATTTTCCAATTCAGAGGCTCTCTACCAATAAATGTCAGCTGCTGAGTTGCTCCAGTGGGCAAAGACTGTTGCTTTCAAGCTCCTGTGGGCTTCGCAAAGGCATCTGTTTGGACACTTTGAGAAGCAGAAGGCTGGACTACTTACCTTGGTGTGATTCAGATTGCAGCCATAGGGTCCCTCTCCATTTGTGCTCAGTTGCACTCATGGAGTACCACATTAATGCCAGTGGAAAGATTGGCAAAAGAGCGTACTTGCAGATCTGTTAGAACAGTCAAATGGACAGTTGCCACTGTGGAACAGATCACTGAATTGGTGTAAGCATTTTATTTGGATGGTATCTCCAGTGATGAAGAGAAGGATGGTGGAAGTAGTGGCGGGGTTGGCTTTGCAATCCAGGAATCACAGCTCTGGTCCCTATCCTTCTTACTTCACTTGTTACTCACAAACTTGATGGTGAAGACAGAGGTAGCTAAACAGATGCTTTGATGGTTATTTCTCTGCTTGCCAGCCTCTTAATTGCTCCTGCTGAATGAAGCAGGTGACATTAGGCCCCATCAGCCTGGAATTTACAGGAGGATAATGTTGTTCTAGCATCTTCCAAAAACACATACAGCTTCTCTAACATGCAGGCAATGGATGGGGAATGGTGTTATACAAAGAAAGAAGAAGCCACACGCATTGCTGGGAACATCTGGTGGGATTATAGGAAAGAAGTTGACAAAGAACTACAGAGAAGTTGCCATATCTGAGCATTTATCTAAATTGGTTATCTGTTAGTTCTGTGCAGTGGGTAGTGTTGCTTTTGAATGGATTAGCTTGCTTGCCCACTAAACCTTTGACTGCTATATTTTGGGGGAGGAAGCTGATGAAGATAGGCATAAATACTTTTACAGAAACATCACTAAGAAGGTAGTAACTATCCTGCTCTTTTTATTCATTTTAGCACTTTTAATTAATTAACAGGATATCAACCGTCCTGTCAAGTCACTACACCTTTCAAGTCATGCATTCGTTGGTTCTGTCTTAGGGCCAAAACAGACATTAGTTTAAATCTGCGGGCAGGATCCAACAATTCTCTAGCACTTGTGCTAATGACCCTGCATCAGCATCAACCAATGCCTGTGCAATTAGCTAGTGCTCCCAAGGCAATGGAAAAAAGCAGCAATTTGGCTAGCGCTGGGGTACAGTCAGATCCTATCTTTTATTTAGCAAACTGGCCTTTTTTTTTTTTTACTCTAGGGTAGAAAAAGTTGACCTCATCCAGGATGAAGCTGTAATATTAAGGAGACATTTAAAATTTGGGCTGGGGGCTCTGTACCTATTCTGAAACATAGATGAAAATGTGAGGCAGCTAGATATGGTTATGTCTATTTCAGCCCTTAGGCTTCAGTCAGTGGTTTATTTCTGGAAAAACCTTTCTGATAGTGTAAACTACATCAATAAACATGAGTGTTGATTGATTATCAAATTTGACAATATGTACACACAGTTTTACACAATGCATCCCAATCTGGCTTCCCATCATTTAGGGAACACTCACTTCCCTTAATGATGTGTGGCAGAAGAGTGCTTAATTGTAGCAGGAGGAGGAGGTTTAGCAGCAGTACAGGTATAGTGGTGTAGCAACCCAAATAAACCTGAGCAAGTTTGAGGGAGGAAAAGGAAGGGACAGAGATTCTGTCAAAATATGGGACTCTGACTATTCTTTCATGAAGTAGAGACTGGTAAAGTTCCAAAGTTCTAACTTTCCAATTACTATAGATAAGAGCATATAAGGCGACTTGCATACAAGACAAGATTGATATTTTGGGCTATTTTTCTGGCATTTGTCATATGCTGGGTGTATAAAATGACACCCAAGTTTTGCCTCACTCTTTCCAGTTTCCAGTACATACAAGTATATCTCTAGGGGGGAAAACCAAATAACTCTAGGGAAAGAAGGCAAGTATCTCTAGAGTCTTCACATCCGCTGACAGACAAAAAAACATCAGAAGGGCTTGATAGTAAAGAGTGTGGTGTCCCCAAACAGACTCCCTAGGGATCCAATGTGGGGCTTAGAACCTATTCTCCACAGATACAAGGGTCATACGGTATGATGAAAATTTTTCACCTGGCATATAAGATGACCGCCCGATTTTTGCCTCACTATTTCCAGTTTCAAGGACAATCTTATTTACTGTTATATATGGTATGTGAAATATAATAGAGGTGAGCACCAGTAATATGCCATTTTATAGGTTATGAATATTATTTCAACTGCCTAAAATGGGGATTCAAACTAAATGAACAGGTGTTATCTGCCAACAAGAAATTCTTCACACCATTGCTTACAAACACAACTTGGTATTTGTATTGTTTACAAATATTGGCCTGGGTCCAGACCTTGCTTTTTATTCTCAGCAGTGGAAGCATGTCTTGAGAAGCATTTTATTCAGAGAATATTCTCCTGGCAATGATGTTTGGATTCCCTGCATTCTCTTGCAGCCAAATCCTCAACTCAGGAGAATCATGAGCCTTCAGGAAGAGTGAAAGAGATGATGAAGGGGACTGCAAGAGGACAAGAATCAAAAGTTGCTTCCCCCAACTTAATTAGCAGGATCACTTTCCCAGATCAAAAGATTTACGCATATGGAAAGTAGCTTTCCTTTTGCAGATGTCTAGGCCTGGATACCTACTGCGCTGTTTACAACTTTGTTGCATAGTTTATAGCTTCAGACTGTTTAAAAATCCAGCTTGTAAAAATTATAGGTCATGAGTACACCATCATTCGTCAGCCATTCATGAAACCTAAACCCTGGTTACTGTAAGCCTACATACATATTTGTGAAATTTACAATTCATGCTAGCCAATATGTTAACTATTACCTTTGCATGTCCTATGAAAGCAGCACTGAAACTCTTGCAGCCTGAGAGCTGGATTCCAGTGCTTTCTGAGTTCCTGCGAGCCATTTTCCAGTGTTGCTTATGGGACCAACAGCAAAAAGAGGCATGACCAAACATACCAGAAAGACCAAAACTATCAGCATATTTTAGTTCAAAGCTTTTATTGCTCGCAATTAGGTCTCGGGAAAGGTTTTTCAACCATTTAGAATGAAGACTTGGGGGAGAAGGGGGGAAATTGCACAAAAATTGGAAAACCACCAAATGATATGCGGACGGGGGGAGGTGACACGGTCCAGGTAAGTGAGTATGGCCATCTCATGAAACTTCAAGGCCTGGGCTGGCACCACGATTTGGCCTGCAGGGCTAAACTTCCCTGTTCTACCATGGTTATCGAAACATTCACGTTAATTATAACAAAATGCTACCTACCATGATTGACGCACTGTACTGATCCCAGCTGCAGCAATACAAATACTTCTTAGAATTCCAGAAAAATGTTTGATAACTATTCTTTATTTTATATGCCAAAATGTTGATGATTATGCCCTTTGTTTCTAAAAACAGGACTAGTTACTGTGTTTCATGCATTCGATTTTCACATATAGCTATCATTCGTGTGATCTACAAAATAACACATAGTTTCTTACCATAAATGTATGAAATGCCGACAAGTTCAAAGATGGCTATTATAACAAGAGAGTAAGATGCTGCATAGGTGTCCACGAGCTGCAACATGTACATCCCACCCTAAAATTAAAACAAATAATTAGTAACAGAAATACCCCAACTAGAAGGTAGTTTAGGTGATTAAGAGTTTCAGAGAAAAAAAGATTCAGAGTATTGTTGCTTTGTCAGCACAGTGACCTTGATCCCACCTGGAAATATTCTTGAATTTTCATGAACATATAGCATTTTTCAAGACTATCCCATTTCTTGCCAACTCTCTCACCAATAGGAGAAATCTTACATGCGGTGGAGTGGGGCTACTATGGGGCAAATCATCCATAATTCCCAAAGCCGGACAAGCACCTCCCCAGCCATGCTGTGGCTTTACTAGACTTTTCAGGCTGTTGAATGTTTGTTATTCAGAATATCCATTTCAATGTGAAACATACGGGCAGCTGAGATAAGCTACAGCAGCTTCCAAGTGGTGCAAGCTGAGCAGTCTGATTTTTGGGCCTCGTAGAAGAATGGAGAGGAGTTGGACCCAGTATTTAAAGCTCTTTCTCCCTGCCTCATCCCTCCAGCATGCTGTTTCAAGGCCTAAATTTGGCAGTAGTTTTACACTCATGACCTTCAGGAGTGGAGCAAAGCTCCATCCCACTGCAACCACAACTAGCCAGCAGATCCAATGGTTACAATTACTCTGAAAATGTACTCAAAATGCACCTTTAATTTTAAAGGTAATGTTTTCATGAAGTTCTTACAACTGTACAGTCAGACTTTTTCCTATTGGAAGATAATGTATACATATTATGGGAAGGCTTTTACCTGAGTGATCATAGGAAAGCCCATGATGAAAAAGGCAGCACAGCATACGAGAGTGAACAGGGGCTTGTGAGTACGCAAGTACTTTGGGAACTCATCTGAAACTGACGTCACTATCGTCTCAATCGTGGCAAACTGAGGAATATCGAAGAAAACAGCAATTAAAACAACAGCAATCAATGTAGAAAAACAGATATTGGTTGAAAAACCATATATCCAATCTTGCTACCAAAACAACTTTCAGACAATATAAGCTTTAGTATTCCGGCTCACTGAACAATCTAGGTAAGGTCTTCTCTACATAACACATTAACCTGCCACTTTAGTTAGGGTTCCACTTTGAGATTCTTTGCATGGTTAAAAGTGGCTCCCTTATATGTCCCCCCACCCCACCCGGACTCTCGCGTTCTCTGCCTTACTACATTTCCCATTATATAACCACAAGGTGGAGCTTTGCTCTCGTGAAATGATGGCAATGCACAAGTTTCCCATTCCAGTTCATGTCACCATTCCCAGATAACTGTACACTTTCTTCAGTGTAAAAAAAAAAGAGTGAAAATACTTGGAAAGCACTGGAGGAGGATGACATCACGTAAAGCACCCACAAGCTACCACTGAGAAGAGTGCCATGAATGCACAATAAAGGCCTCATGTAGAGACTCCTTACTTCTTTTTTAAAAAGCTACTCACATACTTCATGCCATTTGCTACTGGGAAAGAGAACAAGAGGGATGTGTCCTCGGTCAGTTCAAGAGCTCCATTGGAACAGCTTTAGCCGTACAATTGTGGGGATCTGGTGAAAGGTGTGGGAATATCAAAATCTGGTGAAGGAGCAACACTGATTCTACCTACTTTCTCCAAAAGAAAAGGGGCAGGGGTATTTCAATGGCAGAGCACCTGCTTTGCATGTCAAAGGATTAAATTACAATCCCCAGGTAGAGCTAGGAAAGCTCATTGACACTCTGGAAACGCCTTCTCAGTCAGTGTAAAGAGCTCTGTCCTAGATGGACCAGTGGGCTGATACAGCATATGGCAGCTTACTATACTCTTCACAAGAAACCTGGGTCATCTGACACAAGATGCCTGCCACTGAAAAGTGGAAATAGCTTGTAATGCAATTACTCCAATTATTACAGAAAAAGCCTAACAAAGCTCCAATGCCTGTTGAAAAATGTCTTACTTCCAGCCTTACCAAGTATGCCACAGCGGACATTCTCCCTAAGCATGAGCCTGGACCCATCTCCACCACTGCCCCACTTCTGCAAAGTCAATTTTTCTTGATGCCAGTGCTTGGAGGCTCCAACTTCTTGCTAGCACAAGAGTCCACATCACGCCCATAAAGGCCTTCCATGCTGCTTTCCTGACCCAGCCACGTTTGATCTAACTGCCTTTTCATACTACTCATATTGTTTGTTGGACTGAGAACTTCAGCTTTGACTTTGGGCCAAGTCTGAGCATAGCAGATAGATTGCTCTCCCTATGGGCCTAACTGATTAATTTCCAGCTGCCTCATTTTCCATGCCACCCACCCCTGCCCAGCTAGAAAATTGATTTGAATTTTGTAATTGCATTCTATATGGCTCCCGATACAACTTTTGCTAACCAAAACATCAATGTTGGCTGGAATCCCATGCACATTTCCCTGGGAGTAGATCCCACTGAACTCAATAAGGCTTGCTTCATAAATGCATTGTTTGTATACGGCTAGGTCATGATTAATGTGAGATCAAACAATGCAATATTTGATTTAGTGCAAATTGTACAATACCAGGTTGTATTTACATTAAACACAAGTTAGTTATATGAGGCTCGCACATGCATGGTTGAGGTTACCATTAGGGTTTTAGACACTGGTACCTCAAGTCCACACTCCTTTATCTTTGTATGCACTTGTTTTGCTGCCTGCTGTAATGTATGTTAGATTTCATGATTTGCTTTAATCAATTTAAGACATGCACTTAACAAAATGGAACAAAGGAAGATTCCTTTGGATAAAAACATTACGAACGCAAATAAGAAAAGGGTCATTATTACATTAATTTGATGCCATTGAATGACAAGAGCTCATAGCTACTCTAAAATAGGACAAGATGTCAGAATGTTTGAATCCACAGTATGGAATATTTATAAAACATGCAGGGAAAATTAATTTGCATGAGCTTCTGGTTTATTTCATTAATAAGCACGTAAAACATATGTTTAAGAGTTTTCATTGCCTATTTCCATTGAGCTTGAACTAATGATCATACTTTACATATAACAGTAACTTCAAATGGTGCAAATTTGAATAATACAACCACTTCATGCAATTCATTATCTGCACTAATCAAGATCTAGCTGCATTTATTTTGCCTGAAAACCACAGGTGCATGCAAGATTCAGTGCAGCTTCAATCAGCTGGATTGCATTTTTAATGCAATATTTTTTAATCCAATATGCACTCTCTGGTCCTTTAGTAAACAACAGGAAGGTTGGTGAAAAAGCCAAGTTTACCATGGTATCCAAGCCAAGTGTTAGAAGCATCAAGAAGAAGATTATAGCCCAGAATGGTGAAAGAGGAAGCCTAGTCAAGGCTTCAGGATATACCACAAAGGCAATTCCAGGACCTAGATATGAGAACACAAGAGACAGATCTTATGTTTATTCAAAGAGATACAAATGATTATGAAGGACATCAACAAGGAACAAGAAAGGAGGGTTCATAAAGTCCATGTTGTGCTAGAATTCAGATCAGTGCTGTTTCTACTGTATTTAGTCGTATAGTCATCAATATGGAATTAATTTAAGGATTTAGACCTCAGTTCCTACTTCCCAGTAGATTACATGACCATGGAGTTCAATGCTGCACTACTACATTTTCAAGCAAAATGGCTCCAGAGAATCCTAGTGGAAACCAGTGGTTGCTGTTGTGTTTTTAATTGTATTTTAGTCTGTTTCTTTTCCTTATTTTTAGGGGACAATCCAGTGTACTTCAGACATCCTCTGGAAGGTCATAGGATTCTTTGGAGTCCCAGCTCCAGGATCCTGCAATCTTGGAGGTGTGAGACTGAACACCATGCCAGTGACCCCACACACAGTGTTGCAACTTACTGCTGCCAAACAGGGAGCAAAGTAGGCTGCAGAGTTATGGCGATTTCAGTGAGCACCCCAGCCTCCTCCTCCCTCCCACTCTTGGTCCTGAAAATGGCTATTTAGAGAGTTGAAAGGTACAGGAGCTATCTCCACCCCACATTTTGCACCTTGCCTTGGAAGCTCGCAAACCTCCAAGTTCAGAAGTTTATGAGCATCTGCTGTGGGAACAACAGGACTGTGCCTTTAAATCAAGCTTTATCTCTGATTATAAACCACCTTGCATACTTTTTTTCCTTGTAGAAAAGCAAGGCACAAATCAAATAGAGGCTATTATTAGCAGGACAAGAATTTGCTATACATTAAATATAGATATACTATGACCATGGATAGAAGAGACTAGAAAAAATAATTTGTGTTTGCAGGTACAAACCTTCATATCCTTTGGAGGATTAGAACCAGTATTTAATTTTACTGCTTCAAAACTGTATTATAGAGGATTCCACTCCTTTTTGATTTACGAGCTTTCTCTACTGTCCTTTCTCATTCATTTACCATTGATACACTTGCATCCAGTTGTGTCCTTCTACCAGGAAACTGACCCTGCTAGAGCATCAAACTACCCACCTGGCACGGAGCCCCCTACACATCTTCCAGAGTCAGAGGATCCTCAAAAGCAGATTTGTGGGCTGGACAGACAGGTGGGGGGCGGGTTACTCCTATTGTTCCAACAGAAGTCCACTTCTGTAGCAGTGCTTTTAGCCCTGAGATATTGCCCCCCTCTATTTTGTAGAATACAGTATAATGCAGTGGTGCTAGTCCATCGCTGCAGCAAAACGGTTAATTTCAATGCATGCTTAGTAAATCCTTGACAGATATTAAAAGTATTGCTGGTTGAAGATATTTTTATTGGTGGGATGCAATGCAAGCAGTTCACTTTAAAACCTGCTATTAGCTGGCAGTATTTCTGGGCAAGAAGGCCTAGGGGATGTTATATATTCATGAACATGCTCTTTCATCTCTTGATTAAAGATTTCTTCTTGACTACTATAGATAAGAAGACTGTTTGCACTAGCTGCCTGCATTTGGAAATTAAATTAAGGAATCAAACTAATGAGTTTCTAGAATTCACCATACCCTCTGGGAAAATTTAATTGCATAACATGAAACTGCAAATCTCCCTTGATTGGAATCCTCTAAATTAATCGCATGGAAAGGTGAAAGCTTCGGCCACCAAGAGCTGGACATACATGAAGGCAACTGCCTGACTTCAACAACAATCAGAGTAAAAGCACACATTTTTTTTTCTTTTTTCTCTCTCTTTTTGTAGAATTAATTCAATATTTAAGCAACAGTTCAAATGCCACCATATTATGACAACTGGCACTTTTGGAGACAAAAGTAGATTTCCTTTGGGGAGTTTTAGTACAATTGTATGTTTCATTTTCACTGCAGTACTTCCCAAAATACACACTTTGCAAAGTACTAAAGTCTCCCTGCTCTGCAACCCCCGTCTCTCTTGTGGGAATCCTCAGGAGAAACATGATGCTTTAGACAAAAGAATACCCACGGCTCTTTTATTTCACTTCTAAACTTCAGGAACATACTTCTGTAGTCCTTTCTTTCATGGTGTCCAACTGATTTAGTTTGTGCTCAGCAGCTCTTGTCCCTTGACACATTATAGCATGCTTCTGTTTTGAAACTGCAAGTTATTTTGCCATGCTGCCCTGCAGTTTCATGCTGCTTAATCTATAACTTTTAAAAAGCATTTTAATTTGGAGTTTTTATACCCTGCTAGTAGTCAAAGTTCTTGAGGCCTGCACTACGGTCAATTTTAAAAAATAGGTAAGTCATTACAGAGGTGCATAAGTAGGCATTGATTGTTGTAGCCTTCATGTGAAATTACCCATTCCATCTGAACTGTCCATTTCTTGATATGAGGCCATTCAATATAATGGCACTTTTTGTTCAGTAACTGGACAAAATTGCAATCCATTTCTCAAAAACAATGGTGGTGGAAACAGTGGGTGAATCCAGCTGTTGGCTTTGTCTCCAAGCAATCAGTTGGTTCTTCTGCTGTATGCTTCATTCCCAGGTCCCAAAGGGGTCTTGAGGAAGCAGCATACTCTGGAACTCAATAGCCTTCCTCAGACTTCCATCAGCTTCCCTCAAGGTCCTGCTTTCCAATGGCTTCCCCCAAGCAATCCTGTTCTCTCTCCAACATTGGCAGGAGCCTGGAGCCCTTGTCATCCACCCTTGGCCAGACCAGCCCCTGCTTGTTTGCTTGCGTTTGCCACTCCGGTAAGGGACATTTCTATTTTGGCTTGAGCATACAAAAGAAGAAGGAGACGGCAGAGAATGAAGTGGCTAGATGGAGTCACTGAAGCAGTCGGCAGGAGCTTCAGTGGACTCCGGGAGATGGTGGACGACAGGAAGTCCTGGAGGAATGTTGTCCATGGGGTCCCGATGGGTTGGACACAACTTTGCGACTAACAACAACAACATAGCTTAGCGTATCAGCCAGGTGCAGGTGACATGTTAACCCATGGTGAGCTATGTAGCCCCTCAGACAAGCCATGGGCAACTGTGGGAGTTCCTTTACCTTGCCATTCCCCTTCTGTATGTGTAAACTGGCTCTGTTCTTGAACTAATATTCATGGAAAGCCAGTCACTGCATTCAAAGCCCCAATTTTCTTCAGGCTGGCTCTTCTTGTTTGCTCATTAAGCCCTTTTTAACAAGACAAACTCACCTAGAGAGGTTACCTTGGAAGCATAGCGGATCTCTCTGTACACATTTCTAGAAGAGGAAGCAACACAAATACTCCTGGGTAAAGTAAGCACAGAAAGTGCTTTGGACAGACTCCTCCTTCCCTCTTTCTTCCTTGCTAGAGACCAGAGCACAGGCACCCTGTACTTTCCAGGCACCAAGGAAAGACCTCCTGTTTTACCAGGCATTTTAGTCTTTCAATTCTGTTGTTTTGAATCTGACACTGTATTTTAAAACTTGGCAATGTTGCTAGGTTTCCATTTTACACTGCAGTTCTGAACTATTTATAGTGTGTGTTATGTTGTATTTCATGATTTTAATTATTGTGAAATGCCCAGAGAGTTTTGGCTATTAGACAGTGTAGAAATACAATAACCAAATAAATAAACTATCCATTGAACCCATTCCCATTTCAGTCTGCTCTCTCCACCACTAATGCTCATCCCAACCCTGCTGTTCTCTTTCTTTCTGCTCCCATGCTACTTGGTCCCATCTTCTTCTTTGCCATATTATCTAAACAACTCCTCCTGTTTTAAACCAAATGGAACATAAATTTTTTAGGCCTGGAACCTGTCTTAGACAAGAACACAGTTAATTTCCAGTATAAAAGTACAGTTGTAAAAGAAGTCTTGTAGGTTCATGGTTTGATGCTTGTCAATAGATGTGCTAACTGGTGTTATCCAGACCTTCCAAATTCTTGTGTGGTTGTGCATGGACTTTTTATCCACAGATACTTTATGACCAAAAGCCCTGGCTTAACAAATGTCTCTGTCATGAGAATCTGCATGGCTTTGTACAGACAACCATAGGGCAGTACAGAATGAAATTAATAATAATAGTAATAGCAATAATGTGTTTAGATAAGCAGCACATTTGGTACTAATTAAGATCTTCTGGTTTAGACAATACCCCATCCACTTACTACAATTTCTGAGAATTGAAGTAAGTGGACAAATGTGAACTCTTTCCATGAAATATACATGTTTCCTGCTGAAACTTCAGATTCTGCTTCTGGATCTCTGGGCTATGACAGAGCCAAGAGAAAATTACTGCTGCCATAGCCAGACGTTAAGTTCTCAGAAGATGAGGCTGCTATGGCTGAAGTCGCATGCTGTTTTGGTGACTGCAGCAGATGCATGAAACAAGGAGAGAGCAAAAGTGTTTACAGTTAGCAGATGTTCTAATCTGGATTGAACAAGAACTTTGTCATCCAAGTTTTGAGTTAAGGATGATCCTGTTGCTTGTCATCTTTCAGAACCATTCTCAGATCCAGGAAGTTAAAACAGTAAGGTAGCAGAAAACTAATACCACTTTGTGGTCATGAGAAAGCTGCAGAGGATTTTAGGGATGGTGAGGGAACACATAGTTCCCAGCATGCAGCATAGTTCCCAGAGACCCCAGAGATTAAACACTCTTTAATATCATGGCCTTTTACATTCCCCTTGGCATGTTCACCATCTCTTTTTACAGACAACCTGTGGCAAGCTCAGATGGTACTTTAAACCAAGGGTGGCTCCAGCAGTGGTCCTCAGGCACCACCCCTTTCTTCCCCCCTCAGCCCTCCAACCAGTAACCCAGGGGACATGCACTGGAACAGTGAGTGGATGGTGTTAACTGGAGTAGCCAAGAGGTGCTTCCCCTGCTAAGAACCTCCTCCTTCCATGGAGGAGTGTGAGGCAGGCAACAGGAAGGAGTGAACGGTGTGGCACTGGACTTGGAAGGCCACTGCCAGATGACTCAAGTCCTCCTGTTTTCCTGGCTCAGTCAATAAGGACCACCAGCCAGTGTGGAAAGGGGGAAAGAAGATGAGGATTGCTGGGGTGCTCTGCTTGGCTTCCTCTCAAGGAAAGCAAGCAGGGCAGCTTGTTCCTTCCTGCTGTCCTGCCGATGCTCACAAGAAATCCCATTCCCCCTCCGACATTGGCAGGACCATGGAGGAAACCAGTTAGAGCTGTGCCAAGTGCCTTTCAGGCATCTGGTCAACTGTAACCAGCTACACCCCTTGATCAGTGTAGCAAGCCGCTTAGCCAAGGTGCTCTTCTAATTTGGGGGTTGAACATGGCTTAACGTGTCATCTGGGCTCAGAGCTTTGAACAAGCCATGGGTTGTTTATAGGCCGTCTCAAGAGAAACAGTGGTGATTCACAGGACTTGCTAAGCCACCTCTGCCCAGTGTTCAGTGTGCCATGCAAATCCAGTCAATAAAACATGTTCTCAATACAATGCAACATAAGTGGCACAAGTGAGAAATGCAACCGTTCCAGTCAAGTTGTTCCTCTTCCTGTATTCAAGAGAAGTTGTTTATAATTTCAAGCCTTTCTATACCACTAAAACAACTACTAAGTATTTAGGCAATGCTATCAATGTACACAATGCTTTACAGAGCAATAGAAACAAAAGAGAGAGAGGCCCTTAACTTAAGAAGCTTACAATGTAGATTTTGACAGTGGTGGAGACAGCAGAAATAAAGGAAATGGTAACAAGGGGTATCAAACTGAATAAATATGATTCAAATTGTATAGAAATTTATTCATACATATCCAGACTCCTGACAAGCTGTTTTTAGCAATGCATCTTCAAAAGGAAATAAAAGACAAGCAGGATGGCTTATAGCCAAAGCAACATAGCTGCAGCTACTTTAAGAAGGCTCATGAGACATGGCTCACTGAGGATATGGCTTTCCAATGTATGGGTATTACCAAGATTATGTATCCCAATCTTCAAAACCAGGAGAATGTTAAGCATTACTAGGTTTACAAAAGCAGGAATGAAATAACACATAATTAACCAACCCAACTCGAAACAGGCCTACATATGCAAGCTAGACAAGGATTTGAAATCATACAATGACCTGAACTATTGGTTAATGTAGATTATGAATTCAATCATTTATAATAAATAAATAAAGCAGATCCCTGCTCATTTACTCAGAAGCATGCTAAATGGAATACAGGGAGAAATACAGAGTGAGCCAATGACCCTTGGAGAGTGTCTGGAGGGTCTTAGGGTGCTTCAAATCATAAACACCTTCAGATTGCTCTCCCCACCAGTAGCCAGAACAGAACAAGCTGTTTCTCATGAAAGTGATCTCAGAGAGGCATAAACACGCTGCTCCAGGAGGCCTGGGGAAGAAACCAGGGCTACCAGGATCCAAAGTATCCATGCAGCATTCTAGCCTCCATCTGCCCCTGTCTAAAGCATCACAACTACATGGCTAAATGCAGCCATCAGACTTATTTGAAGAACAGAAAGAACAGGGAGGTGAAAATCAACCCCACAATTCTCCTCCCCTACATAAGATACCCACAATTGTCTGAGTTCAGATGCTCATGGGCATCCTGATCTAATTACATCTTTATATCTAATTCAGGGTTGTGGTTCTAGTGTCTCTCTCAATGCCAAGAAGTGGTACTATTTTAGTAGCCAATTCGAAATGGCTACTAAATACATCCCAGTGTGTTTGCAGATCAGTTTGCAATGGAGATCAAAGCAAATATGTTATTATCCAAACATTGTGCAATTCATAAACCAGGTTTGTACGAAAAACAAGCTATCATACCTTGGTCTGCAACATCTTCAATGTCTACTTTGAGCTCATTTGCCATGAAGCCAATAACTGAAAAGATGACAAAGCCTGCAAATATACTTGTGGCACTGTTGGTGCAAGTTACTATCAAGGTGTCCCTGAAAGGAGAAGACAAGACATTTGCCACCTTGTTTTCATATGCAAAGTAGACCAAATAAAATAAAAACAATGTAGGTAAAGTAGATCTACCAATGAATATCAGGCATATCAATCAAATGTTATTATTGGTTAAAAACCAGTGCTTATGAGATACCATAGAAGAAATCATACAGATTCTAACAACTCCTGTGCAATACCGAAATATTAGACTAATGATAGCTTACGTATCTGACTCTACTATTATAATTAAATGAAGTGTTTTTGGTACTTCTGAAGGGCATCACAAAATAACTAAGTCGGACTAAGCCAGAACTGCTGAAATCCATGACCTTAAGCCAGGGCAAACTTAATTCCCATTTACTTTAATGAAATTATTCTAACTGCAGCTGGATCTTACTCAATGTATCTTATGGTTAGCACCAACAATATGAAAGTTGCTTCCAGCATAACAATCAGTCTTTAAAAGAATATCCTAAGGACCACAGAATTACTTGTAAAATCATTGAAGTTAGAAACAGTACTTTGACCTTAGAAGAATGGAAGATTGTGACTAGTTTGGAAAGAAGGTAGGAATCTCAGAGTGAGAGAAACTTGAAGAGGGAGAAAAGGTGGTGTTCAGTGGGCGTGCAAGGGAGGAGGCCAGAATACAGCTTATCATAAGCCTCTTCCAAAGTGCCTTCACTTGATGGCGTGGAAACTCTGTCCAGTGAAACGGGCAGAGTAGACGGACAAGGAGGCAAAGATCCTATCTGCCCACCCAGCATAGGATGCTTAGATGTGCCTGAGTTTGGGGGTTTTTGATCACCACGGACACAATTATTAGGGCTGCGCTGCATCCTAAATCTGTGGAAAATCTGTGATACTATTAGATTCCAGAATGCCTGTTGCCAGATACTTCCTTGAGAAACCTAACCAAGTAATGGATTTGCACGTATGTCTTAGGATGAGAAACATCAGGCAAAACTTCTGTATTTGAACACACAATGTCTACATTATCCTACTTGACCAAAACTATATTTTAGCATTTAGTCATAAATTCCTAAATGTGTGGTTGATATGTAGACAGGACAGTGTGCTGTAACAACATGTACTGTGTTGCTTTTTAATGTAGGGAGCCTAGATCACTGGATACACATAAATAAGGAACTAGGAAGTTGCTTCCAGTCATTGAGCATCATCATCAGTGTTGAGACTGAGAGGGCTGGAAGACTATTTACATGGATGCCTGTAGCAACTGAAAGCTGTTATAGGCATTGAAGGCTTTGGACACTTTTTCCAGGCTACTACGTAAGTCAAGCAACTATATCAGAGAAATCCTGTATAAAGAGCAGGTTATCTGTTAACTCTCTCAGAACATATCCCTTTTGGATACCTCTTAAGACAGTTATTTACTTTTCTACCTGCACAAGCAGGTAAATTGTGCAACATTCCACTGTTACTACAGGGAATTTGAGAATAAGAACTTTTCATGTGCACATGCGCACACAAATATCTATCAGTAAAGTTGGCATTCAACTATATCAATGGATAGACTTTTTCCAAAATAATATCAAACAGTTTGCAGTTGCGATGCCATTTGTTTATGAGATGAGGAAATGCAATTTGGAAATATGTATGAAGTGCACTCTGCAATACCTTCAAAGTCTCTAAGGGAGGCTCCCCTAAAGCGAGATAACACAACCTATTATCATTTTCCTTGCTGCTGAGCTTTGATAATGTTAACTATAGAAGCAGATTGCTGCGCTCTAACCCTGTTCTAAAAGAAACTTTTTGTGGGGCTCTGGAGCAACTTCTGACAGAAAAATGCTCATTAAGAAAGTACAATTCCCACAGAATTTTAAGCTGCTGAATGTGCTTCAGCACAAGCTTATTGGACAAGCTGTACTGCAATATGCTGAAGGGTAGCATGTGCAAAATAATATTAAACCAGTTTAGCAGTGCTGAGATAATATTAGCCCTGTTCACATTCCAGTTCAGGTTCAAACAGGAATGAAGCTTACTTTTCAGAGTGCTTTTTACAGCTACCTCTGATTGATCAACACAATTCATGCATCACCCTAGGCAGTGAGTCAGTATCATTCCATTGGTGAAGGACATATGCCAGTTGCTTACTTCCAAGTGTAATGTTAATTCAGATTTGACCTGAGCAGAATGGGGCCATTTTAAGGGAAGCTGTCCCCATACTTGAGCAGTGATATATACATTGGGCCTAGACCATGGCACAGAAAAGTTTTTGATAGCCCTGGAATCAAAAAAGCAGAAGATACCCCACCTTTTTCTAAAGAACACCTTGTTTCTTTTCCGTCTCTGCCAACATACAGCAATAGGGTTTCTGTCTGTGCTGTGTGTAATTTAGCTTAGTGGTCTGTTTTTTCCCCGAAACCCTTGGATATCCTTTGCATTAGAATTATTAGAGAATTCTAGATATTGGTACTTTCTAGGGCAGGAAGAAGAAAAATAGCAGCTCACATAGGACTGCAAAGCATCAGTTCTGTGATGCCACACCTGACATGATGCAAGAAGCAAACTAGATTCTTTGACCAAATGATCTTATTTATTGTACTTTGTATATAGCTGGATGGAGGGAAGCCAAATATAGTACACAGCAGCTTGGCAGAAAAAGGGTGCATAACTCTTCCAACACCCATGCTTTCCCCACAAAACTGCACATTTTTCCTTGCAGTGGTTACTTCTGTTCTCAAAGTCCTGAGGGACAGGGAGGGAACTGAACGGCAGGGATGAGAAAGAACAGCAGCTTCCAGCACTGACTACGTTGGCAAAGCCCCTTTCAAGGGTTCTGTTGCTCTGTGCCCTTCCGAAATGAGTGTTGCACTCTTTTTGGACTGTTTCAGGACCACCAGTTCCCATTGCGCTGGCAGTAGATTCTGCTAGCACAAGGGCAGTAATGGGTTCTACCTCTAGTGTTCCTAAAGGAAACATAAGAACAGAATTAAGGTCAAAAGAAAATCAGGATGGGCTCAGGGCCTAAGTAATGTGTTTCAGCATTTCCTTTCAGCTGAAAATGGTCCTTTCATACCTGGGCTATTTGCCTGACAGGCAACTAAAAGCTTCCACTTTTCACTCAAATCTTCTTCAGGATAGGCTTGACAGTGGCGTTTAGAAATAGGAGTGATCAAAGTACCCTTTCCTTCTTCAAAGTCCCCTGAGCGAAGGACTGCTGCTATGACAACTGTGCTGCCCATACTAAGCCTTTCCTAGTTCCTTGACCAGGATGTTTCCTGACTTTTATTTTGCAGTCAACCTGCCCTGGACCTGGAGTTTATGGAGTAAAAGGTATGGTCACATCGTATTTGCAACCTGTATCCACCAGGACACCACAACATACCCAGGTGTACAGATCAGAGGCACCAAAACAATGACTTAACTCTGCAGTGGGAACCTTCACCAAGCTGCACACCTAGCTTAAGGCAGGCAGTTGTCTACAAACTGCCAGTCTCAACATGTTGGCCTTGAACTCCCACCATCTTTGGCTCACATGACACAGCCTTGCTGGCTGGAGATCATGGGGGCTGTAGTCCAATATGCTTAAGATCGTGCAGCAGGTGGTATCAATCAAGTACCACAGCCTCAGTCAGTAAAACTGAAGATTTGCAATTTGCTGGCAATAAAATTCTCAGTGATGGCTTAATCCACATGCAAGGAGCATCTAAGACACTCACTATTGATCAAGTCCAAAAAAAAGTTCATAGTCATTAGAAAACAAATCTAATGAGACTTCTACAATTCCCAACTACAGCATTACTTACTTAGCCCCCAGGGAAGCTCGTATGGATTGTTCCACTGCAGTTTTTACGGAGATCACAGGCATAGCAATCCAGATCAGGATGCAGGATAGTGAAAGGGCACATTGTCCACACCAGCCAGCCAGCTCACACCAGTCAGGGAAGGCAGTAAGGGGCAGTCTTACCTCCTTTGCTTCCCAGAATCTCCCTCCATTGATTTCAGTGGAAAATGCTTAAACCGGGTCCAGGTTCAATCATAAAGCCTCCTCTTGGAGGAACAAAAGGGGCTTGTACAGAGGAGATAGGAAGCCACCCATGCCTAGCCTCTGGAATGCCCCATTTTGGACCCTACCTTTGGTGGAAACACCACCAGTGGTAGATCAGGGCCTGCACAGCCTTCCACAAGCATATGGGGGAGTCACCCAGGAGGATGTGCCCCAGGCACCAAAGGGGCACCTCTGTCCCATCATATATTTTCTCGTTCTGAAGGGTGGAATGGCTGTGGAAGACAATGGGTAGTATCCAGTGGGGACACTACACTGCCACCAACTGCTTGAGCAATAGGCTTTACATGCCTCATAAAGAAATTAGCAAAAACACTTTCTGGATCAGGACAGATCAGCAGGGCTTCATTAACTGGCTTCATTCCAAAAATGAATGCTTTTCCTCTTTTCCAGTCCCTGTCTGAGACACTAAAATTCCTATCGGGCAAGTGGTGGGACATGATGGTACTTGGGCAGAGTTGCATACTTCCCACTAACCCAACAAGCCTTTGGCTGAGTTTTAAAATGCTGTAGACACAGGTGTTCATCATTGTTTTATACTGTTATGCTATCTTTGCTACGACTGTGTTTTTCTGTTTTGCTTCAAGATGATGAATTCAGAAGGAATTCTACTGATGGCCATCCATTTGTTTTTCATATGCTGCCATACCTGAGGCATCTTTGGAGGGATATGGCAGGATATAATTTTTAAAGTCGGTAATAAAATAAAAACTTGCGATAGGAACAGAACAGAAAGTATAATGTACAGTTCTGCGCCAGAAAAAAGCCTCAAAAGGGAAATCATGTTATCAAATGGTAAGGAAACAGGCACTCCACAAATCTGGGCTGTCATAAAGGTAAAGACCAGACTAATTGTGGTGGTTCAGTGAAGGGATAGAAAGCCAGAATCCCTTAATAAAAAAGAACATCCCCAAATAAATGTATCTTTAAAAGTGAAGGCTTTGGGGACAGGAAGCGAGTGAGGAAATGAAGTGATAAGCTTTTCCAAACTGAAAACCGCTCTTATCTTTAAAATTTGCTGCAAAAGATGACAGAACTGGAGCAACTGTTAAGGAGGAATGCAGAACATCAGATGGTACAGGCTGGCCTCTAAGCTAAAGGAGCACACAAAAGGGACCCGTCATATCACTTTGAGCATGCATGCACTGTGTATTCACTCTGCATTCTGATTGTAAAAACAGCATAGGATCAAAGGCTATGATTCCCTTAAGAATCACCTGTATTTGCTGAATGTAGGTGGCCTGGATGTGAGACCACTGGAAAGCCCATGAAAAAGGAAAGTATGATAAATATGAGTTTAAAGGCTGTCCATCCAGAGCTTTTGTTCCCAGACACCTATGTTCATCTATTTTCTGTAATCTGTTGGAACGGAGTATGAGCTTGCCATACTGAATTAATATCATAGTAATAGGGAATTACCGCCAAAGACAGAAGTCTTTGGCTGTAATGAATATTTTCTGGTTGTGGTGTCAGTCAACCACCAGAGAAATTGCTTCTTCTATAGGAAGGGGGCCCTACCTGGGATTTAAAATAGATATGGAGCAAAACAAGCCTCAGCTATGCACTTGGCAGAGTGTGTAGTTTGGCTTTCACTGTAGCCTAAATATACCTCAAAAGAAGGGTAAAGCACCACAAAAACTGAGAAATTACTTAATGCTTTTATAATGGCAATCCCCGCTGCCAAAGAGACAATCCACATTTAAAATGGAACAGTGACATCTGATCAACAACAGCTACAAGACAAACATCTGCTATGTTTTGCACTGTGTCGTGCCTTCTAAAATCTTTTACACACATATTATTTCTTACTGTTGAGTTGGTTGATTTAACTTGCTTTCCTTAACCTTCTTCAACAGGTAAAGCAGAAATGTACAATATAAATGAAAATAAATATAGAATAAGCATATATTTATAGTGGAAGCAAGGAGAAAGAAAGAGGCCAAGGAGAAAGAAAGAGGCCAGGTTGTCAGTTCCTTCCTAGTTCCACAGGAAGGTATCAATTTTAATCTAATCTTCCATCTTTAGGACAGAGAACTTTTCTTAATCTGGACTTGGCATTAATGCAATTGCAGGAATAATCACCTTGCTAGCAACATAGCAATAGTAACAGTGGAAACTGCAGGTTACTCTTGCTGATAAAGAATGCTCAGCACAGTTGGATTCTGACCTATTTCTAAATCTCAACACTTTCTTCAGCAGAGATTAGGCTAGTGCTGTTGCTCTCCCTGGTTCTTGACAATTCCCTAGATTGCTTTTCAACCTGGCCTGTTTTTAATTAGGGCAAGCATTCAACAGGAAGTAGGACACATGAATGCAGTGGGTTTCAGCCCTAAATCACAGATGATAGGTAGTTTTTATGCTTTTCAGAAACTGTGTTTTAAGCTTAGCCTGTTTAATGACAACAAATGATACCACAGTAGTCATAGAATCAGCCACAGTGTAGCCAAGCAAAAGAATTGTCAGGTGCAAACCATTCAGAAATATTATGTGGGATGGGCTTTCCTGGAAAATAATACTGAATGCTCTGCAACCTCAAAAACTTCCTGCCTGTGGAAAACTAGCAAGAACACATTTTCCCGACAGATTTCTTACTTCCAGTACTTTCCTTGGCCCTTGGAGCATGTGTCTCCACAAATATAACTTACACTAGGAGCTGCCTTGTAAGATAAAACACACTAATGTCATGTTTCAGTGTTAATGTACAGGAAGTTTTCTCTATCCCCCAGAGAGCAGCATGTAATCTCTCCACCATTTGAATTGACAGTACCATGCAATGGCTTGAATGCAGAGAATGGCTCTCATTCTCTTACTGATTGGGTTTGTCACTCCCAGATGAAACAGGACCAATTCTCCAACTTAGTACCTTAGATGGTCTGACTGTCAGGGACCAATGGTTTGGGAACAGTGGTAACCTTAATTATTATTTTTTAAATAAACATCTCCACCATTCCATTTGGTAACTATGTAAATAAGATCCAGGAAGATATTAGAGAAATCCACAAAAGCTCCAAATGGCATCTAATTTCTATTAATCCACAGATGATCAGCTTTTCAGAGTCATACAGATTTGCAGAGTTTTTTAAACTTTCCAGAACTGTGCCTAACTTTGATTAGATAAAAATATGGTAATGTTTATGCTATTTAAAAACACACACATTTTACACACCTCTGATCTTTCTTCTGCCTCTTTGGGGTATCTTTTTGTGCATTCTGCTTATGCCTTTACACTGCTCTACACAGGGTATGCAACCTGTTATGCACCTGAGAAAGTTCTATAAATTCTGAGTGGTTTTTTTGCTTACTTTTCCTGGGGGAGGGAGAAAGATCCACATTAATCATTGAGTGGACTACAGGGCAAATGAAGCCTGACAAGCCATAAAACACAAATAAAGCTGAAGAGCCTCACATCCCTAGTTCTAAGTATTTCTGAAATCAACCTTGCTACTCAGTTATTGCAGCCACTGGTTTTGCTGAACTGATACGACTTACCTGTAAAGGTTGTTATGAAATTTATTATAGGAAGACAGAGTAATCAGGCCGCCCCATGCAGCAGACAGAGAGAAAAATATTTGAGTGGCAGCATCTTTCCATACCTAAAATAAATCCAGTGAAGAAAATTATCATCAGTTTCAACAAACAGCAGCCAGACGGGCTGAAGAGGTTAGCCGGACAGCTACAGACAGGAACTGGTCTCCGAATACTGCACTGATGCATCCTGGGATATTTTAGCCCTGAGAAGGGTGCCTGTTGATCAAACACCGCTCCCTAGCAGGAGTGGCAACCTTTTCCCCGTAGAGGACCAAATCTACTTATCGGGACTATCGCCTACCCCAGTTCCCCGCTTTTCTTCTGCTGCTGCCCCTTGTTCTCTCTCTGTTTCTTTTTTCCATGCAGAAGACTGCTAGTAAAGGAGCAGAACACTCTTGACAGAGTTCTATACTGATTGCATCCAGAAGGTGCTTTTTTTTTTTTAAGTAAAATAAGGGGAAAGGCAACCAGTTGCTGTCTTAGTACTAAAGTATGGAATGTATCGGAATATAGCACTCAACAATATTATTATTCATGAACAAGGACAAGACTAAGACTTTTCTTTACTAATCACCTGTGACACTATTTTGGCTGTTATTGTTAAATATTGGTATGAGTACAAATAGGTGTTAGGTGTAGTCTTTAAATTATAAGGTAAGCCAAGATTGTATGAGATACCTGGCCAGTTTGAGATTATTGGCCAGATGATGTCTGGCTGTATTATTGCTAGACCCCAAATGTTCACACACATTACAGTTAAATTGCATTTAACTTTGGGTTAGCTAATTTTACTTCCAAGTAAAACTGTTCATTTCAGGCATTTTTACCCTGCCTTTGAATTATAATAAAATTCCCAATGTAGTTTTGAGATTAAATATAAAACACACGATTATGACAATCATGCAATACAAAATGATGCACTGTTAATAAGAAAAATAAATCTGGTATATTCAGACAAAACAGAAAACAACAACATAACATAATAAAACTTCAATATCAACATGAATTCAAAGTTCAAACAAGTAAAAGACTTTTTAAACCCAGTGCCTAATACTGATCAAATTGGATTCAGGCAAAGCTCTCCGAGGAAGAACTTCCATAGCTGGTCATCACTTGTCTAATGTCCAAATACAGGGATAACTGGAGAAGGATTTTTGGAGATCATTTCAACTATCAGAAAGATTCATATGGAGGAAGGAAAGTTCTTTAGCTGCCTAGGCCTCAAACTATACAGTTAGGTCATAGTCCAAATTAATACTTTTGAAGTCTACCTAGAAATATATCAGAAGTGGTAAAAATATTTTAACACTGCCAACATACGTGACTGATTCCAGTAAATACCCTAAGTGCTGTATTTTGTAGCCACTGAAGATTCTAAGTCATCTTCAACAACAGCTTCAGATGTAACTCAGTGCAGTTGCCGGATGCAGATGTTACCAAGCCATGCATAACAACAAATTGAGTTCTTCCCTATTTTTCACCTCACATTGGAGGGAGATTGTAATGACCTGCACTGATTTTCATTTTCCTCCAGGCTCTGAAGCTGTTCAGAGCTAGGCTACACAAAGGCACTCATGGACATGGTAGTCTAACTCCAGCAAATTCAGCAAGACACTTCAGTAGCAGTTGCTGGAATAAACCCTCTTCCAGTTACAAAGATTCCCCGTTACATTTCAAGGTGAAATGATAATTCATCCATGTGTATGTGCAGTGTTTTGGTTAGCCTCACACAAATAATTGCACAGGAGGGTCTTGTGTGTGTAAGAAACAGACTTGGGACTGAATTGAATGCTTGCAGTAGCATGTTGTGTCATCCATGTATACATTCATCCAGTTCTAAAGTCATCCAATATGCTGAATTCATCCAATAATTCTAAATTACATTATTTGAACCCCCATACATTAAATCTGGCCATAACTGTCATATGGGAGCATTTATGGATGGGATAATCCACATAGTATTGAGCTTAGCAAACATTTGTTCCATCTGGACAAGATGACCTATAAAATAGCCACAGTGACATACAAGCATCACCGTATTAATAGCTTATGGACTTTGTTGATGCCTATAGCATGTGCTACTGATTAGGTCTAGTCTGAGCCAGACCTCTTTTTGCAATATTTCAGCTCCTATGCTGTTCAGTGCATATCCCTGTCCCCGGACTAGGCTCTCCATTCCCTGCTATGTCCCTAACTGCCTTCCTTCACTCCTCTTAGCGTTTCCTTGAGAGCTGATCCTTCAACAAAGTGCTCTCTGACACATCCTAGCTCCTTCTGGCTTGCTTTCTACCATTTTGAAAGCGGGCATTGGTGACAAGATGCCACTGAAAAGAGAAGCAGAGAACTGCATTAATGCACCCTCAACTCTGACAGTTATAGGGAAATAACATCCGGCTTCTATCCATAGTAACTAGAACTTAATTATCCCCTCCTTGCTCTGGGATTGCAGCTTTGGTGAATCAAATTGGGCTAGGATAGCAACTCCCAATCAGTGTTTCACCAAAGAAGAGTTGTGCTTAAAAAAGAAAGCAAAAACCCTTATTCGAGTCACAGAAGACTCTCCCTACCCTCTTTCAAACAGCTCACTCACAGATGACACACACTGAATCTGTTCCCCTAATTGTAGAATTCCTTTCTAACTAAACATAATTAACATATGGCTCTGACAGTACAGGCTGTCAGACAGACTTTTTGTTCAGATATATTTTTCAGAATAATTTTTTGATGATGCTTGTGTGAAATTGCTTTTAAACTGCTTTATGCACTTGTCTTTATAGACAGTTCCTGGTTATTTCACTGTTTTAAAAATTGTTTTGGAACATATCAGTTTATCATAGTTTTATGTAAGTTGCATTAGGGATATGCTCTAATAGAGAGAAAGGTGCAGAGAAAAAGCATTTCTTGTTTGTGCGGTATAGCTTGCATACACTGACATACAGAAGTTCTTCTTCAGGCAATGTGCTATTAGCTAACTTCTGTAAACTGTAAAGATGGGCTTTAGCTTCCATGCCTTCTAAAGTAAGGATCAGTCAAATTCGTGGAAGGTTCTTTGCAAACCATCATAATGGAATATTGGTCTGATTAGACAGTTCTAAATACAAATGTGACTGGTACTGGGAGACATTTGTGCTACAATCAGACCAGGAGTCTTCAGTGGAAGTGGCCGCTGTAATCTTTTCCAGCAAAAATAATGAAAAGTCTAATGGTACCTTAAAATACCAAATTTATTATGACAAACTTTAGTAAGCTACAGCCCCTTTCATCAGATGCACCAAAAATATCCTGAGTTCCAACTGACTGTAGCAAGGGAAACTGTAGACAATGAAATTTACAGTTCATCGTTTACAGAGGAAATTGAAGTGCAGAAAGCATAAAAGGTGATAATTGCCTTATTTAAAATAGACCTTCATGAAACAGTTGTTGGGAAGTACACCTCTGTACTGGTGAGCAGTTCATCACCAGAAGTGCTCATCTGATGAAATGGGCCGTATCCTGCAAAAGCTTATGCCATGAATACATTTGCTAGTATTTGATGTGCCACCAGGCTTTTGGGTGTTTTTGCTTTCTAGGAGCAAGATCCCCCATTGCCTCCAACCCAGAAAATGGATACAGTGTGGACCTACCTTTAGGACAATCCAATACCTTTACAGCTGTGCTTTATCTGCCTGCAGGCAAAGCTGCTGTTCACCAACAAACAAACGGAGCAATGCACCAAAGACGACACACACTAACCATATTAAAATTGGAACACATTAAGAACACACACACACAAGACTGCACATAGTGTAAACAATAGATATATGCTTTCTGAATACACAGCAAATAATGAATCTGTATGAGTTATTCACCCTATTAGAGTGTTATAACTGGAATAATAAGCCCACCATAGCATCACTCAGTTTCTCCCACTTAGGTGTGATGAAGTACCAGATTCCAGCACCAGCGCCGGGCAGAGTTACTCCTCTGATGAGTAAGATGATAAGCACTACGTAAGGGAAAGTAGCCGTAAAGTACACCACCTACAGAGACCACACAGAGGCAAAGAATTATTTATTTGGTGTGAACATAAAAGTAACAGCATTAGCACACTGTCTACAACACATAGTTACACACAGCCAGTGATACTACCCAGAGAACATCTGAGGGAGCTACAGAGATGGTAGGATTATTGTCTAAAATGTCACTTTCTATGCAGCACTGTGATCAAGTGAAACAGCAAAGCTTTGGTATAGGTAATATGAATGATAACTACACACATCTTGGTTGGTGATGGGAGCCCCTAGAGCAGCCCACATAACACACAAAGAATTTCATTGGTTACCAGTTGTGACCCAGGCCCAATTCAAGTGCTTGTGTTGACATATAAAGCCCTAAACAGCTTGGGCCCTGGTTATCTCAGGGAGCGCTTGTACCTGTATGTGCCTACCCAGCTTTTGAGATCCGTGCAGGGGACCCTCCTGTGTGAGCCAACCCTCACGGAGGTGAGAGGGACGGCTGCTACGAGCAGGGCCTTTTCTACAGCCGCTCCCCATATCTGGAATGCTCTCCCCAAGGAGCTTCGCCTGTCACCTTCCTTCCTTTCTTTCTGGCACCAGGCGAAGACCTTCCTTTTTAATAAATATTTTAATAATTAATTGTCATAAGACTTTGTTTTGTATTTCTTGCTGTATTTTATTGTTTTTAATGCGTTGTTGATTTTACTGTGTTTTTATCTTGTGGTTGTGAGCCACCCAGAGGTGCTGTGGCACAAGTGGGCGGCATACAGATATTTTAAATGAATTAATTCATAACTGACATTTATTTCTTTAGGACTGAAATCCTTGAGGATAAAACAGGTATTTTATAGACACATGCATACCTCACTCTTACACTGGATTACCACTGAAGTCCCACTTGTATGCCTGAGGCAGTCAAGTACAATGAAATCAGTGTAGAATTCGTTATGAAAATCAGTGCATATTTGTGTGCATATTACAATGGAGTAATTTCTTAATTAGAACAGCAGGTGCTTATTTAGACTAGCAAATCTTTAAGACTTCTTCTAGGTGTGTACTAACTGCTGGGAACCTGTTTCTACAGCTGCTCCTCCATTGGTAAAGGGGACATTTTGAGGCTTCCAGCTCCATTTCAATGGCTAGCAACCATGCAGGAAGCACAGCGCTCAATTTCGGTGCACTACCCACGATCTCAGAAAAATAACCGGCAGCTGACCCTCAGGGAATTCGGAAGGGTGCAGAGGAGACATGGAATGGCCCAGAGGCATCAGGGGCTCGTGGTACCTTTCTGGAAGCAGAAATGCATCACAAGAGCCCTGATCTTGCTTGCCACCCGGCAGGTAAAGGAAGTATGGGGACTGAGCCATATGCTGGTGATTGGGTTTGTGTGATAAAGCCAGTAGTCATTGCCTGTCATGGTTGTTTTTTCAGTGTGACATGTGAACCCATTCATGGCGATCAACCATTGTGACCTAGTGTGATTGTCAACCGTGGCAAACACAACTACCTTTCTAGGATTTGATCATACAACAATCGTTTTCAGTATCATCTGAACCTTTGTGGATCACCCCAGAACAAGCAAGTTACTTGGCAAGGGCTGTTGTGGCTGCTGTCGCCAAGCACCTCTCAGAGACAATGGCAGATGGCTGTCCCCAACATGGTGCAGAGGACAGAAGCATCCTGCCTCCTTCCCAGCAGATCAACTCTTGGGCAGGAGGCAAGGACTTAGTAGCCTGTTCTTGGGGCGATGCTGCCAAGCCAAGGAAAGCCCTGTGCCAGACAGGTTGGTCTTCGGCAGGATGTAGCCACTGGCTGTCCCATTCTTAAGGCAGTGCAGTGAGCAACTCACCTCTTCCCCATCTCCTGCCTGAGCAAAGACCTCTCAGGAAGGAGGCAAGAACCAGCAATAAGCTCAGTGATGTTGCCTGAGAATGGGGGCAGCAACATGGAATGGAACAGGTGCCCCAGCTTCCTGCTGCAGAGGTGTCCTCTGAAGCCGGAAGCAGGGGAGCCCAACCAGTTCTCTCGTCTTCCCTGTTGCACTTCAGAGTATGAGCTTCGTTCTGCACCAAGGGGACTCCACAACAGGTGCAGCGAGCCAACAGCTTGTGATCACCACTGTTAAAGAGAGGAGCCTCATTCCTCTCCATGGTGCCCCCTGGGAAGGAATAGGAGGAAAGAAGGGGAAAGCAAAGCACCCGTGATGAGCCCAGTCATCTGTCAGGTTCATGCAGGGGCTTCAAACTGAACAGCAACCCATCATGGTGATTGATCACACTGGGCTGCCATTTCATGTAAACCCACCCAGAATGAGGGTCCCACTCTTTGCTGCTCATTTTCTCATGGTAGGAACAGGATATGCAAACACATGTCTCATATTAGGGGTATTACAGGAACACACTGGATGTGCATTCACATACAAGTTGCATGCCTTGTTCAGTCATTCTGCTCACATGCAAGCTCTGCCTGGAAAGATAGGGGAACATACTGTAAAAATACCAGCATGCCATAATTTAAAACTAAAGTAACAAACAAAACCCTTAGAAAGGGTAGGTTTCAACTTTTTAGAAAAGTGAACAAAAATCAGGAAACAACAAAATGATCAGTGGTTGGGTAGATAGGAGTCGGATAAGAGAAAACTGAGAACAGCCATTTCTGGCCACCTGGAAGGCCAGATGAGGCCTTGGGCCTAAGATTGCCACCCCAGCTCAAAAGAAAGATATTCTCTTACTTTTCCTGATGTCTTTATTCCTTTAGCCAGGGAGGCATAGACGATTGCCCAAGCTAGAAAGAGAGACAGTGCCAAAGGCCACCGAATTTCACCCGGATATTCAATTCCTGCAGAAATCTTCAACACAAAGTATCTGAAAGTCAAGATACCAGTGAGAGTCATTGCAGGCTATATTCCCCCAGATTTCCATTAAATTCTGAGAAAACAAGGGGAGTAAAATGTGAAGTAAGAGTTCTCCAGCATGTACTGTATCTTTCAAAATTGCACTGTAAGTTCCTTTTTAAAGGCAATACATCACTTCCATTGAAATCAGCCGAGCATTTGCCATCACTTTCAGAGTACTGTTGATGGCATCAAGAGCACAAATTGACTTTAGACAGAAAGGATTTTAACCTCAACCACATGGGTCCAGATTCTAACTTTAGGACTATACAATAAAAGTGCATCATAAGTTTCATTTATAAATAAATAGATAAGAAACTGTGACATGAAGCAACAACAATGGACTGGATGAGGATCAATAAACTGAAATGCAATCCAGACAAGATAGAAGTGCTGTTGGTAGGTGATTTGCCTACTGGATTAGGGTGGCCATCACCCTATCCTGGATGGGGCTGCTCTCCCCCTAAAGGACAGGGTCCACAGCTTGGGGTGCTCCTGGATCCAGTAGTATCACTAGAGGTGGACTCAATGGCCAGGAGCAGCTTCCTTCAGCTGCAGCAAATATACCAACTACACCCCTACGTGGAGAGGCAGAGCCCGGTCACAGTTGCTCATGCACTGGTAACATCCAGGTTAGATTACTGTAACATGCTCAACATGAGGCTGCCTTTGAAGACAGTTTGGAGACCTCAACTGGTTCAAAATAGGGCCACACAATTTTTAAAGATGATTTTATCAATTTTAAGGAATTTAGCACATCCTTAATGGTCATCTGTCTCACCTAGGCATGACATAGAATGATCATTGTTAAATTGTTTTTATTGGTATTCAGATTTTTATTGGTTTTCAGTGCTATTTTAGTATTCTGAAATAGTTACATTTTATATTTTGACTTTGTTGATTGATGTACACTGTGCCTAGAGGGCCTTTTGACCTGCTTGGCTGCATATAAATATAATAATAAATAATACATGTCGTGTCATTCTGAAGATGGTTTATTATTTTCTGCTTAACTGTGATATATACACATTCTGAAGTACAGACAGACATTGTAAATAACCCCACCCTGTCCTTCAGAAGGTCTTTTGGAGGCCAGCAAACACAGAGATCTTCAGTCCCCACCATCCAGCAACCCTTGGACAATGACTAGGGCCAATAGGATTGCTCCCTAAATTAGTGACATAGACACTAGAGAGAGAGAGCATATAGAAAAAGCACAATTTTCTCTTCAGTGAGCACTGCGTTGTGCTATACTTTCAATTAATTTGATCTCTGCTGACTCTGAGAAGAATTCCTATCTAAAAAAAGGTGGTTATGTTTGAAATGAGTCTTTTGTTGCTTAACATATTGTCTTTGCCTCTTTAAAGGCATGTATTTTGAAAATCCATTTAATCTGTTATCCAGTGACCTACATGCTCAGATTTTTTTAAAAAATATTGGTTACAATAGTTTTTTCTGAAAAAAATCTTACTTGAAGTACTCTTCACTGCCACTGACAAAGGTTTTGTTGGCATGGCTGGTATAGTTTACCATTGTCAAGTTTGGATAGGCACTCATACAGAAAGTAGAGTTCTTTATTTGTAATTTGGGGTGGTCACCAATGATGCAGGAATCTGCCAAAAGACACAAAGCAAAAGAGTAAAATACTGAAGAATTACAGATAACAATGACTAAGCAATAGTGCCTTACCTTAAAATATATTCATTTGAGCATCTACATCTCATTAAGCACCCATATCTTGTTGAACAGAGAGATTTAGTCTTACTCTAAACAGTATCACTTCTGAATCTTCCTTTCTTCTGATGTGTCCGATGTGTCTTGAAGTGCTACCTGGGCAGAACTTGGATGCTGCTTAATACAGGAACAGCGAACTAACATTCTTGGATTTAAGCTGATGTGACACCAAGTCCTATGCTTCTTTATTAAGGAAAGTATCACTGCGTGCATTGGGATTTTATGCAAGTAAATATGGGTAGGATTGCCACCTTAGATGCTATCATTATCGTCACCAGGTTGGGGTGGGACTAAACTATGCAGAAAGCCTAGGATAGTCTTTAGAGCTCTCAGCCATAGGAAGAGAAGTCTATTGCCTGCTCTGGATTATGAAGAGCTGCCGTCGTACTGCTGCTTCGGTGAAACGGGAAGCCTTCATAAGGTAGGATGCAGCAAAGCCTTTGGGGAAGAGGACCACCGTCCACTTCTCATGTCCATCCAAAGGGATGGGTCTATAGACTCAAACGCTGGTGCAGATGAAATGCTGGGGCTTTTGAGTACGCCCCCCTCTCTCTGAATTCTGTAGTCAACAAGTCTCAGATTACAAGGCTTTTGGCTACTGACAAGACAGACAGACAGACAGACAGACAGACAGACAGCCTCCCTCCCTCCCAAAGTGGAATTAGGATTTAAAAATGCTAGGAACCATATATGAGCACTGGGGTTGCCACTCTTGCCAAACAAGTTGCTAGCCAATTCTTTATATCCACGATGGGGTCAATCACCCAGCTTCAGACAACACAACGCACCATCTTGGGTTCATCCATTCCTACTACAAGCCATGGGTTATGAGGGTGGTTTGTTTCCCTCATACAAGTCACCCTGCAGGATTCAAGGCTTCACAGCACAACAACCCGTTGTTTGTAACAATGTGAACCCAGTCGGTGGAACCAATTGTTGAGAGATCTGGTGGGCTCTCTAGCATTATAAGCATTCAGGTAAGGATTGATCCAGCCAGCTGTTAGAAATGCTTTAAACTATATTCCAGGACTAAGCAGGGATTAAGACTTGGTGGCCTAAATGATCCCTTCCATCTCTATGATAAGAATAGTGCTATAGCTTATTCTTGTTTTTCTATTAGTTGATTTTTAAAACATTTTCTGTTAATTGATGGGATGAACCATAACTATTGTTTAAGTTACTTAGTGAAAAATCTCAAATATGCATACATTACAGCACAGCTGCAAAAACAAGGATTCATAGAATAGTAGACTTGGAAGGGGCCATGAAGGCCATTGGGTCCAACTCCCTGCTGTTGCAGGACACTAGTTTATACCATCCCTCTCAGAGGGCTGTCCAGTTTCCTTTTGAACATGTCAGCATCCAGGGCATGGGTGGCTGACTACCAGACCAGGGCACCAGGACCCAGGCAAACAGACTGGGGCACAAGGGCCAGTCCAAATGATGGTCAAGCAGTATAAGGTCAGAGCCAGTAGGGGTGTGAGGCAGAGCCAGTCCAGGAAGCAAGCATGGTCAAAATGGTCAGGAGTCAGAAGCCACAGGGATGTGGGTACCTGGTTCTGGAGCAAGGATCAGAGCAAACGAGGACCAGGAAGCCAGCCAGGGTCCAGGACCAGAAGCAGGGTCACAAACAGGGTCCAGAAGTGGGGGAAGGGTGACAGAGAGAGTTCCAGGAGCTATCCAGGAGGTCAGCAACAAGAGTGATAAAACAACATAGAAGACCTTTGTTGTTGAGCCAGCTTCTGGAGGGAAGAGCTAGTTCTCCCAGCTGGCTGCAGTAGAATGAGGGCCTAGTCCTGCAACCACCAGGGCTGTTATTCGGATCTTTGTCCAGATGGTGGAGCCCTGAAGCTGCCTCAAATCATGACACAATGTTTCTAGTGTGGGAGAGCCCATGACCTCTCTTGCCAATACGGCCTGGTTCCACTGCCGTATTGCTCTGACAATGAGGAAACTTTTCCTGATATCTAGCCAGAATATGAATTTCGAGCCCATTGTTCTGTGTCCTGCATTCTGGGATGATCAAGAAGAAAGCTTGACCTTCCTTTTTGTGATGGCCTTTCAAGTAATTATAAAGGGATATCATGTCCCCTCTCAGTCTTCTCTTCTCAAGGCTGAACATAACCAGTTCTCTCAGTCTCTCCTCATAGAGCAATATCTGAGTAATGAACCCTGAATCATTTCTGCTGTCCTTCTCTGGATCCTTTCTAATTTTAATTCATCTTTCTTAAATCTTGGTACCCAGAAATGGACACAGTATTCCACGTGAGATCTGACTAGTGAGGAGTATAGAGGAACTACTACTTCTCATGATTTGGAAGTAATATTTCTGTTAATGCATCCCAAAATAGCATTTGCCCTTTTTGTGGCTGCATTACATTGCTGGCTAATATTTAGCCTGTTGTCCACAATAACTCCAAGGTCTTTTCCAGTTCTATTGAGCCACATATTCCTCATCAATGCATTCTTGTATCAATGCATTTGGTTTCTTTTTCCTAGGTGGTGGACTTGACATTTTTTCCTATTGAATCTCACTTTGTTGTTTTCCGCCCAGCATTCAAGATCACCCTGGATCTTCATTCTGTATTCCAGAATGTTCACTATTCCACCCCATCGAGAATCATCTGCAAATGTTATTATTGTTCCTTGCACTTCCTCATCTAAATCATTAACAAAGATGGTGAAAAGCACTGGGCCTAGGACTGAACCCTGCAGCACCCCGCTAGTTACTTTTCTCCAGTTTGAGAAGGTGCCATTGATGAGCACTGTCCAATTTAGCAGCCAGTTTTGGATCCACCTAATATATCCTAAAATATATCCACTTTGCTAATTTCCTCATCAGGAAATAACTCCAAGGTCTTTTTCAGTTCTACATAAGGCGCTATGTAGAAAGCTTTGCTAAAGCTGAGGTAGATTATGTCCACATTATTTCTGGTGTCCATTTGGGAGATTACCCAGTCAAAATATGAGGTTAAATTAGTCTGACAGGATTTATTCTTGATAAATCCATGTTGGCTTTCATTAATCTCTGCATTTTCTTGGAGGTGCTTGCAGACTGATTTTTTTTTAATCGTTTTCCAGTGATTGTTGTCAGACTAACTAGTCTGTACTCCCCAGGTTCGTCTGATTCAATAAAAACAGATTACAATTTTGTATGTAAATATCTTCAGACCAGATGAACTACCTACCAACTTTTTTGGTGCCCCCAAAGAACATCTAGGCTAATACTGTTTACATTCTGCCTCCTAAAGCTGAAACGGACACATTTCCACCATTAAGGGTCCTGTATTTTCATGCTTCACAAAAGGGAAACCTCAGCAGGTGCAACCTGACAACTTCTCATGGGTAACTGTTATTGCAGTCTTTAATTTTCTATAGGAAAAGATGTGCAAATCGCTTTGGAGAGGAAAATGTTATACTGCAAATCACCCAGCAGAGGGAGCTGTAGTACGATATACTGTACTTTCACTCCTGTTTGCTGCACATCCTTAGATTTATTTGTCTATTATATCAACAGAGGTACTGAAAAAAACGATAGACCTTTCTCTATCTGGTACTATGTGTCTTATTGTTTGGTCTTTGTAGCTGCATCTTACTTACAGATAAGATAATACTTAAATACTAAGGCCATCACAATTCAGTACAAAACTACATCCATCTGAGCCCACTGAAATTGATTTTAGGATATCAGAACTCTGCTGGATTATATAGTGTGCAGAAAGGCTTTAAAAATTAGTAATTACAGAGAAAATAACATGGGAGCAGCTGGAAAAGAAAAAGGGTAGGATATACTTCAAAATTTTGAACTTTTTAAAAATACTCTCCACATTTTGTGTAGAAGGGTTACCAACACAGCTGATTTAAATGCCATTCCTTTTTCTAAAGCTGGGGATACTTATCCCCACAAAATTCTTAATTTTACTCCAAATAAGAAAGTCCATATTATTGATATTTTATGTTCAGGTGTTTCTTTTGCATCCAAATGCTCTATAATGCAGATGCAAAGAAATAACACACAATGCAATATTTACATAAGGACAATGATATTCCAAATCTCTTCAAATAACACACATTTGGAATACATAATTGTCAATAATTCCATGGCTTGCGATTTTAAAAAAAAAAATCTACTTGAGCAAGTATTAGTGGCAGTTCAGTTTAAAATTAAGCATTCCTAAAACCTACAGTGGACTAGGGCATGTTCATCAGTATAGGCTGGATTTTTTTTCGTCTTGCTTAGATCTTATTGTAGCATGAGTGAGATCACAGGGATGACACAGAAGGTCACTTTTGCTGCACTGCAGCAAGCTTTTTTTCCAGCATAGCTTTCTAGAGCTGTTGGTTTCCCTGCAGTAGATAGTTCCAGCCAGCAGAGGGCACAATCATTTTGCAGCACAGAACATACAAATCGTTGCATGCGGTGCTATCCATCAAACTTGGGAGGATAGGCAGAGAATAACGACTACATTCAACCTGAATGTGCTAGCAAGAAGTAAAAGCAACCATTTTGAATTTGGGCAGCAGGGGGTGGATGGGCCAGTTGTGCTTATTTTGATATGAAAATTATTTTCATACATCTTTCAAGCCTTCTGATATGTATGAAAGCTCATACACAGTCCCAAACATTTATTCTTGGAAAGCAAGCTGCAAAATAGAAGATACAAGATATTTCTGAGTTTAAGATTGGAGTACAAATCTGAAGCAGAACAAGGAATTCAGCAACAATAGATCTTAGTGGCACAAATCCTGGGAAATAACTTAAAAGCCACAGTGTTTATACAATCACTATTCAGTTCTATACCCTTGCAATAAATACAGGAGAACCAGATGCATGGGAAAAACTAGATGTGCTCTGTCCCACAATTAAGAAATATGCTTCCTATGGGCATTTCTTGTGATTGGAAATTCCTGGTTTCTGGCCTAGTCTGGAAATAGAAAATTATATAGCTCTCTACATGCTTCTAGAAATGCTCAGACTGTAACCTCAGCCTTATCAGTTATTTTTGCTTGTGCTTCTGTCTGAACTTTAAGAAACTCACACTTTCCTTTTCTAGAGTCAGCCAGGTGTGCTCAAGGCTTGGTGTTCAGCCATGCAATACATTTACACAGTAAATGCTATGCACTTGCTTAACAGAGGCTATAAGGCTGCATCATACTGCTGAAGAGTTGCAGAAATTCCCTGGGCCCTCACTAACCCAGCGTGCCATCTCTTCCTGTGGACTGGACCTTGTAAAGGAAGCAATCAGCTTCCCATTCTGGAAATGTTACGAAAATCAGCAGTGAATACTCAGTGCACAGGGCATTAAAACATGATGGCACACATCCATCCATAAAGTAGTCCTACACTTTTCAGCAGAGGTTAGCTATCCAGATGTTTTGGCTCAACATTTGCATCAGCCTTAACCAGCATAGCCAGTATTGAAAAACGATGGGAGTTGGGGGGCCACCAGTTGTCCACCTCTGCCTAGGGCCACTCCCGCGACATGATTCCGAGCATTCCCAATGTGACATTTAGAGCCTAAATAGATTCAAGTATTAAAAAAAACTGATGGAAGAAAATATACAATGGCATTGTATTTCCCCTTGCTCCACTTCTAATGTCATATTAAAAAGGAACTTCTGGGATGTGCAAAGTCTGAGAACTAAAGCAGTTTGCATTCTCCACCTCCACTGCATTTTGCTCAAAATTGACTGCTTACTTTGTGGAGTAACCGGTGTTAGTCCTGCTCAGAGCAGACCCATTGAAATAAATGGGACTCAGATCAGGCTACATCAGATACACCGGAGGAAGTGCAGTAAGATGTACATCGCATGTATGCTTCTTCATCCACCAGTTAAATTATTTTCATGGTTCTATATGGCTACAATACTTTTAATGCATGATCACCTGTGAGTAAGCCTCACTGAAGACAGCGGGAGTTACTTCCAAGTAAACATGTCTAGGACAGTCCTACATTGCTGCAATCTTGAGCGTCTTTACTAAGAAATATGTCCTGTGTAATACAAATATGTTTTGGTTGCTAGCATCATAGTCAGATAAGAACTTCTGCATAGCAGCATTTGTCATCAGATGAAAAGCAAGTCCAGAATACCAGGTTGGGTAGTAGCTAAGATGTTAATTCACACTGACAATCTAGCCTTATACACCCACTCTGTCCACTTAGCTTTAAAGCAAAGTAGATGAGCTACTTTCTTTCCACCTGCTCTGCCACACAGTTTTGTTTATGACACTAAGGCTCAATCCTTGCAGCAAATTCTACTGAACACTATAGGACGTTTAAGAAGCTGTACATAGGTTGCATATATATAGGGTTACACTATAAATGTCATCCTTTCAGAAATTATCTTAAAAGCTAGAAACATTTTGCAGCATACAGGAACAATTTTGACCAGGATTAATTTTTGAAGGATATTTTCTAAGTGTTTTTAATTTATTTATTCTCTGCTTCTCTTCTCCTGACAGTGTGTTTCCTTGACCTTGCAATCATATGTATGCCTACTCAAAAGTTATTCCTACTGCCTCTTCTGGAAATTGTTCCCAGGTAAGTAGTGATAGAATTACAGCTCAAAAGATTGGAGGATACAATATCTTTATGAATTGTTGGCATCTTGATGTTAGCAGTATCACAAGAAATATGTCATACAGGGAGCTACCTGGGGTGTTTTTTTAAATTTTTTTATTTGTTCCTGAGGGAAAAGGGAATATATATCAACACTGTAAATAAGCTGTTTAGGCATTAACAGCAGAGTACTATCCCCTTCTACTTAGAATTGATATCCACATAATTGCATGATATGAGCTTACTTTTGAATAGACGTGCACAGGACTGCACTGTACAAGTATTAGTGGGATTCTTGTCTTACATTTTCACAGGACTAATGAAACTCATTCTAATGTTTGATTCAGAAGTAATGAAAAGAAGTTGGAGGTAAGTACTACTGGTGCTAGTGAAAGCTGTTTTCAATTGTACCTCTAGATTTTAAACTGACAGAGTCAAAAAAACAGTTCTTTTCAATTAGTATAAAATTGTAAGAATACAAGACGTTTTCCATGAAAAACACTAAGCTATCAGGAAAGATGGTAAGATCCAGGACATTCTGAGCATCCCTAAAAGACTGGCATATGGTTATCCTGTTGAGATTGAGCCATAAGCGAAGTGCAGGTGCCAAGTCTCAGAAGATAAGTCCAGCATTTGCCAACTTGAGGTCTTTGAAAGAGCTCTTATTTTATTTTATTATTTATTAAAACATTTTTATGCCGCCCCATTCGCCGAAGCCTCGGGGCAGCTTACATCACTTATCTTAGATCTCTTAGATCAGTTATTTTATTTATTAGATTTATATCTAATTTATAAATTTATAGATTTATATCCCACCTTTAAGCTTGCTTCTACATAGGCAACAGGAGGGACTGCCACCCTGGCCTTCGCCTCAGGCAGCAACATGTCTTGGGCTACCCTCGAAGAGCTATTTCAGGATCAAGTAATAATAGAATGTGCCTTACTATTATTATGCATTCATTATGCTGAGGGTTCTTGCAATGTATATATTTTGTAGTAACCTACAGTTTTAAACAAACACTTGAAACATGTTTCCTCATTTTCCCACGAGTTTTAGTAGATTTCGTTCCAAGGAAGTTCTTAGGATCATAACCTCTGAGGCAGCCAATAAGTGCTTAGGGGGTTTTGTACTGGCCAGTTTGCCCACACATCAAAAACACCGAAATTACTGCTGGTGTCTTAATTTATTCTCTGATTTCCAAGTTATGGCTTAATGGATCTATGGTTAAAAGTGGGGACAGGCTGTCTTCTCCAATGGAATAGGTATTGTTGTATAAAAATGCCGGATGTTGATAACCCTAGATTTATTGCTGGAAGCTAAAATAACTATCAGCAAAGAGGACAGAACTCCTGTTATCTTTAAAGTTATATAAAAGACACCTTTAGAACTTTCAACTTATGTTTCAACTCAGCAGAAGAGAGATTATCCAAGACACAGGTTACATCTGGCTGGAAATGACCTCCCTTCCCCATCCACCCCACTGCAGGTGCTTGAAAATACTACCCTTGTGTGAGAGACCCTGCTTAAAGGCTGAGCTACAAAGGACAATTGAAGATCCAACCCTCCAAAAACCACCTTTTCTCTTCTTTACTATTATACCTTATTCTTTGTTTCTCTGCTTGACATCTTGATTCAATATCCATGACAATACTATTCATGAGATTTGCAACCAGTCACATCAGCTCCTAGTTTCTTTTTGCCATTTAAGCTGCATGTGAATTCATTCACTAAGGCTGAAACTTCAGATGAATTCTGGGCTTAGTCCTTAGCTCCATGACAAAACTCTGCTGTAAAGGACATCTTCCCAAAATAAGGGCACAAACCTCTGCAGGCTTAGAGAGAAAAACAGAGAAACAGAGCGAGTCAGAAGGGGTCTCCTGGGCCATCTAGTCTGACCCCTGGCTCCAGCTGGCTTCGCTCACGACATGCTCACCTTGTGCATGTCCAGCCTATCATTGAAAAGCATCACCGATGGGGCCTCAACGACCTCCCATGGAAGCCCATTCCATACCCTCGGGAAGTATGCTTCCTAGCATCTAAATGGAACCTTGGTTCCCTGAAAAAGTCCTACAACTCTCAGCCTGAGGAATGCTGGAAGCTATTTTTTCCTGTCTAAGCCTGCATAGGATTGCTCTATAAGAGACTATTAATAATAGCAGATCTATAAGGATGATCTATAAGGGCGACTTATTTTCTATTGTTATTTCTAGTATTCTAATTTTATGTTGTGAGCCACCCTGAGGCTTCGGCGAATGGGGCGGAATAGAAATGTTTTAATAAATAAATAAATAAATAAATAAATAAATAAATAAATAAAATGATCTGCATTTTAAAGCAAAAATTTTAGATACATAGCACACATTTGTCAGGTTTAAAAAACCATAACACCTGAGCAAGAGAAAGAAACAATCAAGGACATGAGAGCATGCTCCAACTTACCTAACATAAGTTTGTTTTTATCTCTACAATCTGGTGTGTTCCATGGATTGTTACAGGAAGCCCAAGGTAACACACGGACAAGGGATGCAAAAAGATAGAAAAGTGTGTAGGACAATATAATGTTATAATATATGGCTATTAGGACAGAGATAATTAGCATAGCAATGCCACAGCCTAGAGAGAGAGAGAGAGAAACAGAGACAATTAGATATATCTCACTTTAAGCTACCATAAATACATAGTGACCTGAAAGATGATGTTAAGAATATCTAATCATATGCAAATTGATTTTCATTTGAAAATCACTTTACTTTTTCAGGCTTTTTTTCTAGGAAACTGACATGCAGTGCAGCCCAGTCTAATCCTCTTGTAATCATAAGAGTCAGGGCTAACATTCAAAGGAAGCAATTGGCATGTGCCTTCTTCAAGTTACAGTCAACAGTGCCTGTATTCTTATTTTGATGGGCACAAAAAAAGTCACAAGAGACAATGGAGTTAGCTACTCCATCCATCTCATGTTTTAGACAACATATATATTTATTCCTCAGGATATCATAAATATAGGGTTATTTCTTACCATGTAACATTAATAAAGAGAAACAGAATGAATACTTTTCAAATACATTTTGGTTCAATTTAATTTTAATATATCCCGGAATAGGTCTATGAATCTTGATATGCAATTTCTGGCAACCCAACCACCTCCCCACAAAGAATGATCCCCAAAATGACTCTGCTCATTACAGCACTACAAAGAAATTGAAAATCTACTCTGTCGCATGATGCGAACAAGTTACTTAGCCCTGACAGCAAGTATTGCTACCTTATTACAGTTATGTGATACAATCAAAGGGATGATGCTATGAAAAGCTTTCCTGCTGGGAATGCAACAAGGATTCACTAAAGCAGAAAAAGTGCTGCATTAGTGCGGTAGCAGTCAATGCAAGGTCACCTCAAGGTCAAAGCGAGACTGTAATGCATCACCCACTGTCCCCGTTGTGTCTCTGGCTCCACCAGAAGGTAAACCATGATTTCTTAAAGGGAGCCCACCGTGCACAGGAAGACTCACCTTGCAAGGCGGGGATGGCTTTCCAAACAGACACAGGTCCCTGACTAGCAAACTGCCCCAGAGAAACCTCCAAGAAAAAGATAGGGAGCCCAGCCAGGGCCAACATGGTCAAATAGGGGATAAGAAATGCACCTAAGGGGAAAAGAGAAGAAAGGTTTCAGAGGCTGTGTGGGAGAAAGCTTCCAGTCCTTACTACTCAGAGTCATTTCTATTTTGTGCTGTGTTCATGGTACAAGCCATATATCATTAATGCTCTTTCAAATTATGCTAAGCCTTTTGGAATGCAGATCTCCCTACTTTGGAACCATGAGTTAGCAGATATGGTTTACTGGCAGAAATGTGTGGGGGGGGGAGCTTTCTACATTGGACAGCTTGGCAAAAGGTCATTTTAGACTCAGTCCTAAATTTAGACTGAAAAGGGACCTACAAGTGCCAGCATTCCTCAGCCAGTGATGTTGGCTGCAGAATGCTGGAAGTTGTAGGAATTTTTACGTCTAAACCTGCAAAGTAAAAACTTGGATCACTGCTATCAAGGCATATGTGTTTTTCAGGCAGATCTTAGCCACCATTCTTTTTTTTTTGGGGGGGGGGGAGTCTAATTTCATTGGGACTTACACCCAAATGAGACCTTTCAAGGTAAAAACCTTTGAAAAATATTCGAACTAAATGCATCTGCCGCCCAGCCCAAAGCACCTTTACTCAGGTTGTCCCACAGAACTCAGTGGGACCTCTCTCCCGCAAAAGCAGCATAAGACTTGGAAAAGGAGCATTAGTCTCACTAACTACTAGAAATTCTGCAGATGCATCCTGTTCAACACCACGGGGATTGACCTCTCCGACAAACATGCCCGAGATCACAACCTATGCAGAGCTTCTCCAAGCTCCCTCACAAAAGGTTGTGCAGCTCGCCCGCTCCCTGGGACAGATTATGGATTGGCTTCTGCACCGTGTCAAACAAGGCTGCCTGTTCGGAATGGAAATGGCTGCCAGTCTTGCTCCAGGTGGTGCCTCTAATTCAATTAGGGCCAATAATTTCTCTCATCATCACCTACAACTGCGTCTCAGGGCTTCCTGGAGTGTGTCGAGAGAGGAAAACCGCCACTGGTTCAGGCAGAATTGCAAGAGCCTATTATATGCGATGCTGGAAGGCACCAAATCGTGCTTTCGGGTTGTTCTGCGATTTTTGCCTTCCAGGAGCAGCCTTGCCGGCCGCGCGGCAGCTCACGCTCGCTGCTGCGGTCTTACAGCCCTGATCGAGGCGGTCGATTAGCCGAGCCATTCTGGGGCAGAAATCGGCCAAGATCGGCTACTGATGACTAAAGCTCCATTAATTTATATCCGTCTCTAGCGCTTAGGTGTTTTCTTCGTTTTTTACTCTGAAGCAGACGCAGGGTGTCGATCCGGATTCCCTCCACCAGGGTCCCGTTCCGAGTTAACCCCCCTGAGCCTGCTCTAGAGTACAAATTGGGAAAAAAGATCAGATGTGTTTCGTCCCGAGACCGTGGTTTGGAATTAGAAGGCAGGAAAACTTTGCAGTGACCTTGAACACCTCCAGCCACCCAAAACAGCTTTCGCCAATTCAGGGGTTCGCCTAATAAACTGCCAGGAGATCAGTTCCTTAAGCTGTAAGCCTATATTTACATTTCTTTGCGGGGGGACGTAGTTACTCCTCAATCTGTATGAGATTAACCGCAAGGCCTGTGACTGCAGCCACTGCCGGCTCCACTAAAGTGAGGGAAAGGCCAGTGACTCTCATTCCAGAGCGACGTGCGCAGGCTTTTCCGGCCTCAAACCGAATTCAGCAGTAGCGGCAACACTGGCACGTGTATAATGCGCGCACACGGTGTTGCTGGGTCCAAAATACCTCGCAGTACATACCAAGGGTGCCTTCAGATGCCCTTAAAAGTGAGAGCGTCTGTGCCTGGGACCGTGCCTTGTGCGGCTTGAGCGCTTAGTGGACACGCTGCGATGTGCAATGATCGGGTTCCGTGCAAATGCGTGTCTACTCAGAAGTAAGACCTAGAATTCCATGGGACTTATTCCCAGGTACGCGAGAAAAATTACAGCCTTAAGCTTTTCTTTCCGCCACCGTCCACAAGGGAGTTTTAATGAACAGTCGCTAATGTCTCCAACACAGATTTTTGATTCAACCCAATGTTTAATGAGAAACACATCCTTTTGTGTAAGACCGAATTTAAAGTATTCTCGATAAGTTCCAAAACAATGTAAATCCACTGCCAACCAGAAAGCTGCTTGTATTGGGCTGGATATTTTGCCTATTATATACCTCAAGCATTTTGATTGGACCACCGTCCGACAGACAGAAACAATCGTTCTATTAAAATGATGCTGAACAAGGCGGAAAGGAAAAGGAAATTATCGCTTAGTTTAAATGTCAGAACGGAAAATGTCCAGTTCATCCCAATTTCCGTATCTCTAGATTTTTCTGATATTACCTATTTAAAACAAAATGCACCTCTTGGGAAGAAAGTCGCCATCCATGTTCTATGTGCTTATTCATGTAAAACAATGAGAATGGTGACGATCTGCCATAACAGCCCCTGAAAGATTTTAAATGAACACGCTGTGATCGCAGCTTCAGCGACAAGAAGATAACTCGTTACATCGCATTCATTTAGAAAGGGGGAAATATTGCTTTTGTTTGTAAACGGTCCTACATTCCTACACATGAAAGTCGTTTATCCTTTAAGGCTGCAATGTTATGCCCATTTACCTGGGAGTACATCCCATTGAGTTCTATGGGATTTCTGAGTAGACATATATAGTATTGCACTATATTTCAATGTACAGAATTGCAGCGCATGAAATAAAGACATTATTAGGATTGAACTGTTAGAATTCCCGATTATGGCTAATTAAATTATATATACATGCAGACACACAGGTATGCATATAAATATGTATGTATTCTCTCTCATATAAATTAATACGGCCAAACGAACAGTCGGCATGCAGTTTTCAGGGACTTGACTGTCAACTCCGCTGTATTTTATGTTGTGTGTATGTATGCAATGCACCTTTACTTGCAATTCCTCCTATCTTTTCCCTGGTTAGTGGCAGCCTTCTTGCAGAGCACCGGGGTGGTGAAAGAGATTTTGCAGATATGGGAACGTTTAGAGCTGGTGGAGGCTACATTGCACAGATGTAAGTCCTTTTGAATGAATGGCTGTTCCTTCCATCGCCGGTGCATTAATGATGTGAAAAAGGCGTGAAAGCCTTTAGGAACAGATAAACCGAAGGCAAGGGGTTAAGAAAATCCTCCTCCCTCCCCTCCCCAAACTGGCAGCCTCCCTCCACTGCTTTTTGCTTAAAAGGCGGGGCTTGGGTGAGTCGCAGTCTCTCATTCCTAGCCTGCAGTTGAACCTTCACGATTTCAGTGACTCTAAAGAGGTTTAAATCTGATTGGACTTCCAGTATCCATGGCCTGCTCCTCCAAAGATAATTTTTTCCCAGGGGGTTGACTTATTCACTTGGTTTTTACTGGTAGTTTTTGTTGTTTGCGGAGAGAGGGCGTATATTTTTTCTTCTCAAATAATTACTGTGTTCCCCTTTACTCGGAGGTTGTCTCACGTTGAAGAATAACGTACTGGGAGATCTGCAATGCATTTCTCTTACGCTTGTTTACTTAGAAGGAAACATTGTTGAGTTCAATAGGGTTTGGTCCCAAATAAAGTTTGTAGTGTCACCACCTTTAAGCCTTCCATTACAGCTTTAAGTGGGTGAATTTGGACGTTACTGTCACCATCCCAACGAGTCCTGTGCGTTTCGAGGAAGATCTGCTAGGATCTTAATACCATTTCGCAGGGACTCATCCAGCCAAAAGACAGACAAGGGAGCAAAGCCATGCGAGTTCAGACAGGAAAAAGCTGACTGGGCCATGCTGGGAACTGTGGGAGGACCTTTTTTCTGTCCGAAATTGCAGAAGAGTGTGAGTTAGAGTATTTGCAGAACCAATTTTATACTTTCTTTATAAGAAAGCAATCTCTCTCTGATGCGGGTGAGTTTGGTCGTGTTTTGCTTGCTGTGTCGTGGACGTTTGATCAAATTATACAGACTTGTATTTCGCCTTCATGAATCACTAATGCGGGTTAGAATCGCTTTTTCAACCATAAGTGCAAGGTAACAGGAGAGAATGACATTAATCCACATTAAAGTGATGTGCGCTACAAAAAGCTAGATTTAAAAATCGCGCCATGTTCCCTTCAGGGGCATGGAGTTATCTGTTCTCACGGTCTCCTCGGGAAGCTGATTTGGGAATGGGGGTTCTGTTTCGCAGTGTGTTACCCTCCGCTCCATGCAATCTGTTCTCGTCTCACCCCCCACCCACCCCTTCCTTCTCATTTGCTGGCTGAAAGACCGATCCAGAAACCAACGAAGCCTGGAAGCTCGCAGTAAAACCAAGCCTCGAGCCCGGTTACGTTTAAACTAAGCTCTCCGTTTTCGCTGGCTTGTGGATCAAAGCCTTGGCGCTGCCCCTTTCTGAGCTGCAGGATGTAAAAAGAGAGGAAAGTTCATACCTCCCCCATTCTTAAAGGCCAGGTACGGGAACCGCCAGACATTTCCCAGCCCAACTGCATAACCCACCATGGAGAGGATGAAGTCCAGCTTGCTAGACCAGTTTCCTCGGGCTTTATTTTCGTCCCCTTCATCTTCCTCCGGCTGGAGGGAGACAAAAAGAAAAGACATTGACCTGAAAATAACAGCTATGGCAGCAAACAGAAACCTCAGGTCTGCAATCTTTGCGTTGCCGGACAAACTTCATCATCATCATCCATAAAGCAGTAATTCCAAACGTAAGAATAGCAGCAGAGATAAATTGGACCAAAAAGACAGAGGCAGTCAGTTGAGTGCGGTGTAGTTGGGAAGAAAACCTGTCCGGAACCCATGCCAGGAGCAATGTATTTGTGAAGGGACTTTCCTAGGAGTGCAATCCTATACGTGCCTGCGCAGAGGTAAGTCCCATTGAGTTCAATGGGCATACTCTAGGCAGGATTGCAGCTTAGGTAATTTAGCACTCTGTGGCATGCAGCTGAACGTGTGAACTGTCCCTACCGAAGAAAGCGAAAGACATTCTTTTAAGTGCCATTCTCAAGTTTCTTCATGTACCGGACTGCAAAGCAAGTAATTATGACCTGATCTTGTCTAAAATATTACATATTGTACTGGATCTCTGGCCAGTCTTCCCCAGCCATGGAAAACCTTGCTGCCTGTCTCTCACGCATACTCACACGTGTGAAAGGGAAAAGAATTCCTATGAGGCCAGCTGCATCAACGTTTTACCTTCTTAGAGGCCCCTGGAAGGTCCGCATGGCAGCGTGCCCTCGGTCTGGCATGCCCACGTGCGAGGGGAAAGATGCGGGCAGAAAACGGAGCGCCGCCAGTGCCTGGGAAGGCGAAGGCGTGCGAAGAGCCTCTGCTTCCCAGTAGCGCCGCAATGGCGGCGTCAAACATCGAGCGCTCGGGGGAGCCATGGCCGCAATTACTCAGGGCGCCTCCGCGGCACACGTGGCTTCTTAAGCCTCGGCCTGGGGCACACGAGTGCCCCCCCCCGCTCAGTTGCTGCCCCTCAGCCCCCCGCTGAGCTGCAGCTACCCTCGGGCCCATCTTCTCTCGGTTTTAGGCTGAGCCTGCCGTTTATCTCGGGATGCCCACTCAAGGATTGGCCAGGATACGCGTCCCCACGCGCTGAAATTGGCTGGAGGAAGCCATCTCTCCGGCCCGTGACCGATTTCCCTTCTCGCTCGGGATCCATTCGTCCTTTTATTCGTGGTTTGCACGTATTTTAATGCAGCCCTAGTGACGACAAATTGACTTTCCCGATTTCCCAGAGTTACATGCTGGGAGCCTGCGTGCCTTCCAGCGGGCATCTTTTTTTAATTGTTATTTCACTCTGCAGTGATGACCACGAGCGGTACTGGATCCAATCGCAAATAAATATGAGGTCCCTACACGAACCTACCAGAGTCCAGACGAAACCACAAAAAGCCAGGAAGGGCTGGGGAGAGTAAAATTGAGCCGAGCCTCTCTTCCCACTGCCGCAATCCCCATATTGGTGATACCTTACACATCTCTGAGGCTCACCTGGAGGTGGCGGGGACCCAAGTAATTTCGGGAGAAAGCGAGAGAGAGAAAGCCGCAGTCCCCGTCCCTCGGAGCTTTGCAGATGGGCAGCGCGACCGCATCCTGGCCCAAGGAATGCGCCCCGCTACCTTTCCTTTGACCTGGCGGAGGTGAGAGCCCCACAGCCTCCTAGTCCTTGAGAGTAATCCCAGGGGCATGACGTGACTGCAGCCTATGTGCTGATCCATGGCATGAACCAGTCACTGAATGGCAAACACTTTTTCTGCAGAGAGGGCGGAGATTTTTATGGGAGCTGCGGGGAAAGGGTTAACTCCTTCCTCTCCCACGATCCCAGTCCTGATCGCCCCCCCCCCGCACAATAGGATTTAAATAATATTAAACACTCCACACACACCCCACAGATATGTGACATACGGTAGATTCATCGTCCGCTTTGGCCCTGAAATGTAAGCTCCTACGGGCCTGAGAAGGTAAGTGGAGGGATTCCGTTATGTCCAGTTGGAGACCACGTAAACTGTGGGGAGGAGAGGAAGGGCACTTGGTGCCTTCAGCTGTAGAACAGGGAAACGGATTAAACCAGTCCGCTTTCCGGGACTAGTTCTGGTCGAAGAGAGAAAATAGTCTGCGGGCTCTGAATCTACCGAGCCACGAACTGGTAACTTGGTTTAGGATGAACTGATAAGCGGGACTGGGAGAGCCAACTCGCTCGGGAGCCCGTTTCGGCTGAGTGAGGAGAATTTAATGGATTCGGTTCCGCGGCCTACTAAGACGTAAATACTTTCAAGTTTTTCAGCTTAAGTCGGGTTGTGCGTATGAATCACAAGTTGATGAATCAGATCAACTTGTCAGAGTTTATGGGCATGAAGTAAGAGCGAATATGTTTAATCTGCGGATGTTTTGCACCTGAGACTTAAATCGAGTGGTAGCGACGCTTGCTAAAACTGCGCTCCAATGCTATTTTAATAAATAATCTCTTTCCCACCTTCTAGAATTCCGGCCAGAGGGGTTTAAAAAAGAATACTCGGAAGCCATTCCTGCATAGAAATCTTGAGGCCACATTCCAAACTGTCTTGCCCTACAGCTTCTGAACTGCAGACTTGCTCATGAGCTCCTCCAGAATAGACAAGAAGCGGTCCTCGGATGTTAACGGGGACTTTGTGGCTCTGTTTCAGCCTATGTATCCTCCTCCAAGCTGGTGCCCGCTCCCGAGAGGTTGTCTCCCCCCCCCCCCCATCTACAGCACACCCTCGGAAGGGGGCACCAGCTTGGGGAAGGAGACTTCCCTGCGCCTTTGCGCGGTGCCTCCCCGGCGAGGCCGCCGCTCACGCGGGTCTCAGGTGCGCGCTGGAAGCGCCCCGGTCTTCATCACGCCGCGGTGCCCGCACTTGCTCACTGACCCCGAGTAACGATTGAACCGCCTGCCACGGAGTGATTGATCGCAGAGCCTGGCCCGGTGGGGCTTCGTGGAAGGGGCCTGGTACAGTTGGCTCTTTCTCTGCTTGGGTGGTTTTGGTGGTTACTCTTGACTGCTTTCCCGCTTGGCGGACAGGCAGGGCCGTTCCCCAGGGCTTCCTCGATGTCCGCCCTCTGCAGCGATCAGCGCCCAGAGCCAGCAGGGAGGGCGAGCGAGCGAGCTGGGAAGCGGAGCCGTCCGCTTCCAAAGCTCCCTTCAACTCCGGGAGCCCCTCTGCCTTCTCCCACGCTCGGGCCAGAGCGAGAGGAGGTTAATTAGGTTAATAAACTGTGCGCAGAATGCAGACAAAGTACTGCAATGTAATGAGTATTCTTCGATTGCAGCGGGCATATCCCGCCATAGTAAATGGTGAAACGCCAATCAGTTTTAATTCTCCCGACTGCTCTCGTGAGCTTTTGTTTTCTACTTGGCTATGGAGAAATAGAGACATAGATACGTCGGCCTGTCCATCCTCGAGAGTCATTCCGAGAAGAAAAGAATAAATACTGGGCTTTTTTTTTTTGTTTCGTTGTTTCTTCTGCTTTTCAAAATCGGTTTTCCTTGATACTTAAGGGGTTTCTCTGCCATTAAACTGCAGGAAAGAACGTGTGAACGCACCTGCACGAGAGTAACATAATCCTAAAATGATTTAATGAGAAATAAGTTCTAGTATATTGAATGGGCTTACTCCCAAGTAAATGTATCTTAAAGCCTCACTAAATCATAGTGGTGTAATTTGCATCTCTCATTATATTCCTTTTTACGTTCCAGTGAGAAATAATTATCACCGTTTATTATCCACTGGATGAAAGGAAAGCATGACTGTCTCTCATTTTATGTCTTTGTTCCGGGAAGGGAAGCCCTCAATTTAGGGTCTCTGGATGGACAGTGTAGTATCCTGACTGGACTTGGAAAAGCTAGGGTTTGACTCTCCTTTTGCTCAGGAAGGTAACTGGATGACCTTGGGCCAGTCACAAACTTTCAGCACAATCTATTCCCACAGCGTCGTTGTGAGAATAAAAAGTGGGGTGAGCAGGATGTATGCTGCCTTGAAAAATCCTCATTTCCTGCAATCATTTTTCATTGACGTGATTGAATAATACAGCATTTTGAGTCCTTGTCTTTTCTCATTTCTACCAAGTTTTGGAGAACAACAGAGGGATATTATCATTATTACTAGTGCTGCTGCTATTATTAGAAGGACATTATTGTTGCTATTATATTGTTCCTTCCAGGTTCTGATTGTGGGTTATTTAAAACTGTTATTTAAAACTACTCAGGGTTTTGATTAGGAATTAATTTTCCGCGGCCAATGGACGTTGGTGATGGTTGCTTTCTGCCCATGTGGGACCCAGGAGAGAAAGCGACAGGGGTGGCATTATGGGGAAAGCAACTTACCTCTGTCACCCCACCACTGCCAGGCAGGACAGAAGCGATCCCATCTGTGCCCAACACCACGGTGCTCTGGCTCATGTTCACCCAGCCTTGGCCCTTGGCACTGTTTTGCTCCAGTGTGCTCTTACCAAGACTTGGATTAGCTTCCCCACCATCTGTGCTTTGCAACGGGGGGATTTTACACGGGGCAATGCTGGCTTGGAGGGTGTTCCCTGTACTGGGGGCGTTCTTGAGAGGCTCGATAGAGTCTTTGCTGGAGGCGGAGTGGCCTTGCACGGAAGCAAGTTTGCAGATCCCAACTTTGGTCCTCTCGGAATCGTTTGGTTTGGCTTCATCGGATGGCAAAGTTTTGTTGTCGCCGGGGAGAGCCGCGGTGACCTTGGCCTGGGTCGGAACTTGGGACGGCAGGTTCTGCGGCTGCTCGGTTTCAGGGCTGTGGCTGATCATTCCTGTGCTCTGGAGTGGCCCGGAGGCGAGTGGCTCAGGGCTGCTGGTGAGCTGCTTGCTCGTCTCCTTTGGACTGGCGTAATCCTACGAGAGCAAAGGCGCGTTAGAAGAAGGGAGCCGGAGGGGTGGGGTCTGCCACAAGGAAGCCGTGCTCAGAGAAATCGCTGGGGCTAAGGCTGTGCTGCTTAAGCGGATTGGGAAAGCACGGCCGCGGACTCGGCTGGGCCAGCCCTTTCTTCATTCATCTTAGTCCAGGAACTTGTAACTGTACCTGCAGTCCTACAGTCCTAGCATTAGATACAACATCGCTCCCAGCTCCCTGCTTGCAGACCTCCTTGATTTTCTCATCACGGCTGTAGGGTGTTCCCTTCCGCAAGCACCATTGTACACAGAATCTTTAATTTTACGCCCCATTTCCTTCCTGCCATTCAGCAATGCACACTGTCTTTGGACAGGGGGTGGGGGAGGGAGAGATTCGCTGCCCGATGCAGCTGGCCAGGTTTAACGGAACTCAATAATATAGGCTTCTATGCAGCCTGTAATGATTTTTCCAATCCTTTCTAGTAAGGGGGGTGTCAAAAACTGTGAAAGGAGATATTACCTGTTATAACAAATACTGGATTTTTATTTTCTAGTATCTAGCAATATTAGCATATTATTCCAATTAAACAGATTTCAAAGGGATTTGCTTTCTATTTGACATTCTTAGGACAGCAGCCTTCAGAGTGCAGAAATCCGGCTGCATTCTTCCAGCTTTTGCTTTAACTTTCCATCCTTCAATCCTTTCAAAGATTTAAAACACAATTAATTCCTACAGTAATTCAGCTTGTACATTTTCCTAGACTGCCCTTCTGTCACACTTCGAAAGAAAGACACTCATCCTTTTCTAGGCTGAAAAGCAGATCCGCAAAAGAAATGGTAAGAAGTTCCTTCTGCAGGGGCTGCTATTTAGCCGAACTCCCCCACCACCACCACCAGAAAAAAATCAGATAATCAGTAAATGCACCTTCAGGATAGCAATGCATGGGAAATTTTACTCTTGCACTGAAATTGAGGCATGCCCCTTTCTTCCTGCTTGCAAGACTAGAGATGACAGACAAGGAACGTCTACCGAAGAATGCAGACTTTCAGGACCCTGGATAGCGCTCGCTGCGTCGCCCGCTCTTTACCGCGCACAGCAAATTTCTCAAGCTTAAAACACACTTCCGAGCTTAACGCATCGCTATTTCAATCATGTCCACTATGGCAAATGGATATCGAGTACAATATATTTTCCCAAGTCGAATCTCCACAAAGTAAATAGAGAAGGGAGGCAAAGACCCCACTTACCATATCTAAAATAGCATCAGAGACAGAACCGGCGGAGAGGTAAAAACAGCAGGACTGGCAAAACGAGTGGACTGGATTTTGCTCAGGCAAGAGCAAAGCTTTCTATACCTCCGTGGGAAAGCTCGGGTTTGCGTCAGTGCATAGCAAGGTGCCCTTGGTATGACATTTTCTTGATAATAAGAGTTTGATAAATCATTACCCTTGGATTCGGATTTTTAAAGGGACAACAAGAAGCCAGCGCGCCGGCTTGCTGTCACTCAGGCGGCAGTTGGGATTGCGTGTTCAATGTGACTCACTTGGGGTGGCGGGGCGGGGGCGATGCTTACTAAGCCAAGCCCAACCGAAGCAGAACTTTCTCGCCGGTATTTAGAAAAAAAGGAAGAAAGGAGAAGAACATGTGAGGAACACGTCCGATTGCACCCAAAGCGCAAACTCCTGCCGCGGACCCCCCCCCACCCCCACCCTCTCCCTCCCTTGCGAGAGCAGCGCGCTTCCGCCAGCAGCGAGTGGGCGCAGTCCGCCGCCGCAGTGGGCGCAGTCCCCACGTTGTCGGGGGGTTCTGCTCCCCTGTCCCCCAACTCACTGCTTGAACGCCAATGCTCCTCCCGAAAGGGGAGAGGGGATCTCCCCCCCCCCCCCCCCCCCCCCCCCCCGCCCCCCAGGGCCCCCCCCAAGGGGGGGGGGGGAGACCCCCCCCCCCCCCCCCGTCCGCCGGACGCGCCGAGAGAGACGAAACTGACCGGGCGAAATTGACCAGAGTCACAGAACAAGGTCTGTTTCCATCGAGGTCGTTTTTAGTGCACCGCGGGGGGAATGGAGACCCAGTCCAGCAGCAGCGGCGCCGCCGCTGCCGCCATGCGCTTTTTAGAGCCAGGCTGCAATGCTATTCCCTCTTACTGGGCGTCTGTCCCAGTGGGCTCAGTGGAAGTTACTTCTGAGTAGATGCACACAGTATTTCACCAAGAGGCTGTGATCGTAAAGCACCTGCTTGGGAGTCAGCCGCTTAGGGGGCTGCTTCTTTTCCAGGAGGCATGCTTAGATCACATAACCGAATGCTGCAATGCTCTAAAGTAATGCTGGTCCTGATTTTGCAATATACTCGGTGCTTTTGAAAAAGCATTCTATTTAATGTGAGGAACCATGTTGAAAATTATTCCCTTTTTGCTCAGAATTGAAGTGTCCCCCCGCCTCATTCTCAGCTCTTTACTCCACTTCTGAGACAATTCCAGCGATTATCTTTCTAAGCAGCACTCGCTGATGGCGCCCCAGATAGTTTGCAAATGTAATTAAAGGGTTTTGTTCAACAACTCCAATAACCGAAGGGAATTTGTTATAACTTTTGCACATGCCCCCGACTGGACAGAATAGCGTGCACGCTGGAATCCTAAGTACACTCACCTCTAATGGAAAAAGTCCCTTTGGAATCAATGAGACATCCTTTCACATGCGAGTTTGGATCATATGTATATTTGCCTAATACACATCGTAAAAAAATAATATATCAATATATAGCTTGGACACCATTCACACAAAATTAAATAAGAATGTGACTGATTTCAATGGGGAAAGAGTCAAGAACGTCCTGTACAAATGATTCCTTGAGAAAAGTGGGACTTCAGAGTAAATAGCTTTGCCCATAATATGCCTGCCTGTGCTCTGCATATTATGCTGCCTTCATATACTTGGAGTTATACTTTTAAAAGGCCAAATGCATACTTGGATTTTAAGCACTTAAGTGGTTTTTCTGCTTAATTCGATGGCCTTCTGATTGCATGAATTTGAATTTAAGGCTTCTGCAAAATGTCCATCAACCCAGATTATCGCAAAGGGATATTTTGAGTAGTGGCGTTGACCTGCTACCTTCGGATAATGCAGAAGCATCATTGCATCTTATGAGGAGCCTCTCCCTTGGAGGTTCCAAGCAAGACCCCCCCCCCCACCCTTCTGCTTACCCAGACATCACAATCACTCAGTCTCAGGCTGGCATTGTTGTAATTCTTGAAAAAACTATCTGTTGAGATCAGAGCAAGATAATCCAGCAAAGCATTAGTTTTCCTGGGTGTAGTATGAGGTCACGTGATGCAGGCACCTGCTGTGCCCCAGCAGGTTTGCATCTGCTGAACACCTGGAAATTCAGTGGATGCCACCTTGGCATCCATGATAGAAGAAAGGTGTGTGTATGGGGGGGGGGGGATGGGCTGTGAATGGATGAAGGGATGGATGTATTAAAATCAAACATGGCCCTGCATCAGGTGTATTGCTTCAAATCGGAGTTTTCATATTTGAGGAACAACTGCACATTTGCTTGGGAGTAAACCACACTGAATACAGTTGAAGATGGATTTAAATATAAATAATTTAAAATAATTGCATGTGACTTCAGATATGCAATGTTTATGTATTTATTATCGCTCTGCATTTATATTCTTTTTCTTCTTCTTCTTGAGGGGAATCCAAGGTGGCTTACATAGTTCTCTTATATTCTTCCTGTCCATTCTTCCTCCTTTTACCCCCATGGGGTAAGTCAGGGTGACAGTCTGTGACCATCCCAAAGACACCAAGTGAGCATCAAGGCTTAGTTGGAACTAGAACTGGGATCTCCCAGGCTTCCAGTCCAATGCTCTAATCACCACACCACACGGTGATTTACCACACAATTTGCAGTATTGTTATGGAGAAAGAAAAAGTGAATCTCATTTTAAAATGTGGCTGTCTTTTTTGATTTGTAAGAACAAAAGGACACGAATCGACTAAAATTAACCATTTATAGTACTGTCCCATGCATGTTCACTAGAAGTTTATCAAGGTTTCAGTGGGTATACACTTAACTGGGATTAAGTCCCATTGAACTCAGTGAGATTGATCTATCAGTAGACATTCAAAATCTCCTGTTGAATTCTACCACATTGCAAAGTGATAAGGTTGTGGCCAAGATTTCTATTTAACACCAGAAGAGCAGGTAACTGCAGAGCAGCAGTCCAGTTTTGCTCACAGGCTCAACCTCCACCCACCAAGCTTAGAGTAACCCCTTCAGATATAGGAACTAAATTAAAAGTCATCTGTCTAAAGTATTAATTTTGTTTGATAGTTTCATTGCCTGAGGCAGAAACGATTCAAGAGAAAAATACTGGTTTCTCTTCTTATATGATACTAATAGATATGTGATACTAATAGATATTAATACTTTTCAAAACAGTTTTAATGCTCCTCTCAGTTTCATAAATGGTGGAGGCATTATTTAAACTGTATTATTTAAATGGACATCGATCTTTTGACTTCATCATGGTCATCCTACCAGAGAC